AGGAATCGGTCTCGGTTTGTTGTGTCGAAGGTGTATTGTTTGCGTGTAGGGAAATTAAATCGTGTGACGCGGGTAACGACTTTCGCGCACGAACTGAGTGAAGCACGTCCGTGTCGTGGCACCGCCGCCGAGCCGCGCGCGCTCCACTCGGCTCCACGTAACGGGCCGAGGCCCCCGCCTCCGCCCCTGCATCGCACCGACCGCGGACGGACCTGCCCTGTCTCACCACTGCTGCGCTAAGCCCTACTACTACCTGCACAGCGCATTGTGTATTCACATGTGTACACCAGTCTCAGGCGCAACTCCATTCATTTTACTAAAATCGCGTCGATAGTTCTGTCACAAGTACTGCTAGCCAAAAAACCTTTGTTACACAGCAATTTAAGTTTTTGGTCATTTTTGACTTTGGGCTCCGGGAATTTACTTAACACCAGTTAGGCTGTGAGCTCGTTCACAATTACACGAAACAAAAAAATTACAGTCTTATTTTTCTTTGCATGCGATGTAATGTAAACTATTAATCAGCTGAAGTGCAGAGTTAGCGATAGGCTTGCGAAGAGCAATAATCGGCCGTTTCTCTTTAGATTATCGCTTTGCATAAAAATTAAATTTGAACATCCTATAGGTATTCATTTAGGCTTAGTATCTAAATTAGTATCGGTAAATGACATAATCATAACACTACCAATTAATCGATCCTTCCGTTTAAGCCGTAGTGATTTATCCCGCGTAGCGATGATTCTGTGTATCACCCAGATCCAGGTCTTGTTTTTAAAATTCGCAACAACTTCTCAGGCGAACTTAAATTTTATATAAGCTCCTATGAGAGAGTTCCGTCAAGTTTTGACATTGACATCTTTCACAGCTCGTTGTTCTTAACAACATCCTTAATTAATTATTTTAAGGTCTATTGATAGAATAATTGTTGGTATACTCTAATATATCATATGATGCATGGCTTTTGAAGAGTTATAAAAGTTCTCAACGTCTGCATACCTACTCATGCACTGCAGAACTCCTTCATGTATTTAGATCAATCCGAATAAAACTCTTTACCTCTCCTAACTGAGCCCGTTGTCATCCACCAGTTCTGGTACAATTAGAAAGGCCAACGATCCAACTGTAACCCCATCTTATCAAAAAATGTATTAAATGGCGGATAAAGCGTTCAATTGTCGCAATAAACGCATTCCTAATTTTAATAATGAAAGAAAAATTAAGATTCTTTGAAATTAGCTTGGTTAGCTTTTTGATTCAATTCAGTTGTTTTGTAGCTAGGGTAGGCCTCCCGCAAAGTGGACTGACGACCTATTGAAATTCGGGATCCACTGGATCCAAGCACCGCAAAATCGATCGTTGTGGCGAGGCTTGGGGAGGCCTATGTCCAGCAGTGGACGTCTGGGCTGAAAGATAGATCATACACGATCATACACGGCCTAAGTAGTTGGCCAAAAATGTTAAACTGTCGTGATGTCTCTCAGATTTTTTAAGAGTTTCAATCTGTAAATGTGTAAAATCCAATACCAATTGTTTTTTTTTATTAATAATTAAAGAATTACTGGTGGCCCGGTGGCCTTCCCAGTTTCACCAGGACAAGTGGGCGAGCGTTGGCTCAGCCCGCAACGGTTGGTATTATCTAACAGTTGCCAGAGCTACCAAAAGTACAGGCAGCTAGACATATTTTTTTGATTTCTTTTTCGTTGAGTTCGTAATTTTCAAGACAATACTTGTATGGGATTTTTTTAAATGATATCTATGGGATTTTTTTGTTACAATTAGCTAAACTGTCAGCAGAGCCTGACCGGATTTCACTAGTTCACAATAAAAATGGTTACAGATCAATTAATAATATGTATTTATTAATAAAAATCTTAAATTAAATTAAATTAAAAGAGTAAGTAAAAAAGCTCTTACGAGTTTTTACAGTTTTCACAACGGATTGACATCTATTCCATACGTATAACAAAACGATATTTGAAAAATATTCTTAGGTGAAATTTTTGTATTTTAGGGCCCATTCGTACCAATTTATTGTTGTCCGACAACGCCGGGTTTTCAGATAACAGAGGTTCGATTAGAAATCAACCTCTTAATTTCCACTACTTGTGGTAGGACCTCTTGTGAGACCGCGCGGGTAGGTACCACCATCCTGCCTATTTCTGCCGTAAAGCAGTAATGCGTTTCGGTTTGAAGGGTGGGGCAGCCGTTGTAACTATACTGAGATCTTAGAACTTGTATCTCAAGGTGAATGGCGCATTTACGTTGTAGATGCTTATGGGCTCCAGTGACCACTTAACACCAGGTGGGCTGTGAGCTCGTCCACCCATCTAAGCAAAAAAAAAACAAAAAAAAAACAAGCAACCCACCTTTACTGCATCAATTTTTTTTAATAATTGTTACCAACTACATTGTGTATTCAGGAAATTTCGTTTTTTTTTCAATCAATCTTAAAGATTTTCAGCAATTTTTTGTAGGTAGTTGTGTTGGTTTTAGAAAAAAAAAAGGTTTCATCAATAATTCTTATTCACCATTTTTTTCAATATTATATTTTATACTACCTATACATATTTATATAGTGCAAAAAAATTAAGAAATCTTCAGAAGCTTTCAACAGTTTGTGATGGTGAAAGTGAAGGTTCAATTAACATTTATATTATGAATTCAATGTTGTGAATTCTATCTTGTTTATAAGATGTATCATTTATGAGCTTTCAACCATAATCATTGACCAATATCACATCATGACTTCAGAGCGATTCTCATTGTTTGTGACGAACTTAGTAGAGTCAACAGAATTTAGTACAGCCGAGTCTATCCGAGTAGCCAGAATATATCTTGATGAATAACAAAAAAAACGCAAATGATTATTTTTTTCAAATAAATAACTATATTTGGATGCGAATGACAAACCGCTAATTTGAAAAATTTACTATCTTAATCTATAAATCGAATATTCGCATTAAATTCTGGGCTTAAGCAATTTTGTAAAAGGCGTTTTATTACAAACGAACAGACTTTGCTCCGATGGCAGAGGTGAGATGACAAAAGGCGATGAAAGGAATTTGAACAAATCCTCAGAGTACTGGACGTGCCATTGCATTTTCAGTTTTTAGTTTTCAAAGTTAGCAGTTTTAAACGATTGTGTACATGCGCACGATGTAAAAAATATTTAGCTCCATTGAGATTTGAAGTTCGATGATACGAAAAACCAACACGTAAATGAGACAAACATACATCTACAATATATCAGACAATCAGGCAGAATAGTATGAATTACTTTTCAATCCTGCCTTTGAAAATTGCATCCTGATCACGAAGAAAGCAGTCACTGTCGACGCCATAGACAGGTCCTTACGGATCCATAAGATCCAATAACTCTTGTATTAAATGCCATCAGCTCTTACAACAGAGCAGACTTAGGAATTCCGGTAACCGTACTCGTCGAACTCGACGTGCAACCTAACCTAAGCATCAGCCCGCTGAATTTCTCCCCGGATCTTCTCAACGGATCACGATTCCAATCCAGTAGTAGATTCATTCGCGGAGCAGCTACTCATGAGTTTTTAGGTCTCCTTTGGAGACGTTCAGGTAGCTGTTAGCAAATCCCAACCCTTCTGGCTTACTCGCCCACTTGTCGTGGTGAAACTGAAAAGGCTTCAAGGCCACCAGTAATCCTTCCTACACAAAAATAATTAATGAGAATTGCCCCTATGTTTTTGCATTACATTGCATGATTACATTGCTCCATATAGGTAAACTGCACAAGCTAGTCTGTACAGTAAGCACCAATAGATTCAATTTTATTATAAGTCTAATTACCACAAAAAAAAAATTGTAAAAAAAGTCGAACAGACAATGTTCAGAATAAAATGATAATAGAAATTAAATCGTAAAAGCAGTTTAATGATATCTACGACTCAAGAAAGCGCGACACGATAACCCTCTTATCGTGACCGCCGCTAGTTAGATATACATAATATGTATACCCGACCCAAGCGATGGGACAACGCAAAGTCATCGTAGCCCGAAACGTGTCTTGTCGGATCCCCGGATCCACTCTCGGTGCTTTTAGGTCCCTCAAGCACCGGTTACTGTCGTTACGACGAAGAGTTCGATGAGCGAACTAACCCATAGAAACAGTCCACTGAGTTTCTTACCGGATCTTCTCATTGGGTCGCGATTCTCATCGAGTTGTAGATTCTGCAAAGCACTGCACTTGGTAGGGCTAGTGTTGATAAATTCTCCCGAACACACCTAGGCTACTCTTGGCAGAGTAGTCGTAGCTGTCGTAGCGGTGGCTTTCGTAGTGCTGGTGATGATGACAATGCAGCCCGTGGGGGTAGACGTCGAGGTGTTCTGCCTTCTACAAGGCCATGTAAGTATCTCCACGGTGTCCTCCTTTCTGGAGATGTGCCCAAAGAACTTGAGAATTCGTAGCTGAGCAGTCGACGAGTCTTTTTTGTATACAAAGTTCTTTGCGAACAACGAACAAGAAGAGAAAACTTGCGATAGCCGAAGAAAATACTAGTGTCGAGAAGCTGATAGTTTACATAAAATCAAGATTGTTAATAAATAATCTTATATTTATTGACAATCTTGGTTTGTGAAGTTTACAGAAACCTTCTATAAAGTTATGAATTGTTTTAAAGTTACGATAGCAGCATGCAGATCTTCAATTATTGACCATTTAAGCATGTACAAATAGACGTAGTAATTTTAAAGTGAACATTACCCACGGTACCGTAATTATAGTTTCTCTACATACGCAGAACCTACTATACTATTATTACACATATTCTGCGTCTGCGAGTTACACGAATTTCGTATAATGACTATCCAAGTATAAATACTTTAGATTGAATTTTAGATGAAGGCTTAGATGGCATATATTCCATTGCCATTTCAGTTTTTTAAAAAGCTGAACTGTCAACTTGAAGTTCGTACAAACCAGAACATTGAACCAAGCGGAGTGAAGTTCCCTTTTATCGTATGAGCAACGACGCATGCGCATTCGTCACTTCTGGACACTTAGATTTTGCGCTCGTTTTCGGCCGGCCTCATGTAATCTTATTCGAACAAACGTTGTGATACGTAGGCAAAATGAGTGTCGAAAACCCGGCCAGCGATAATGATTGTGAATCTGTAAGTTATTATTTAGACTTGTTATTATGATATTAATCGTTCTACGTATTCAATAAGCTTCTATTGCTTAAGGTTTCGTGTCCTTACTGATGAAAATTACAACACGAAGCAAAATTTTCTAAGTCCCAATATGGCGTCAACTATAATGTTCAAGCAGAAAGAACGTAGCGTCGTTTGACACGCCAAGAATCAATGTGAAAAAAAAAACACAAAATGCCACATAGCGTCTTTTCTAAAATATGAACAAATATACATTTGGGGTTAATGTTATGTTAAAAATTAAGAGAAATTTCGATCTCTTTCACAGGGAAAGGTAAATGGAAATAAAAATGAACACGTGAACGGCATGCATAACGGCTACAGTAGCTCTGACAAACACAAATCAAGCCACAAATCTTCTAGCAAAGACAAGCATCGCGACAAAGATCGCGATCACAAGGGCTCGTCCAAGCACAGCAGCTCTAGCAGGTAAGCATTCTAGAATATTCTGTATGAAATTAACGTTTTCACTATGAAATTTTGTAAGTTTTATAAGTATTGTATTTAAAGAGACAAGGACAAAGACAAACACTCAAGCAATAAAGAGCACAGCAGCTCCCATAAATCTTCCAGCAAAGATAAAGAACACAACAGTGAAAAGAGAGACAGAAGTGATAAAGATCACAGTAGCAGAGATAAAGAACGTAGTGACAAAGATAAACACCGCAGTGACAAGGACAAACATAGAGAAAAATCAAAAAGTGACAAAGATAGGCGTGATGAAAAAGACAAGAATAAAAGCAGTTCAGATAGCAAAAAGACATCATCATCATCATCATCCAGAGATAAAGAACACAAAAGCTCATCAAAGGATAAAGATCATAAATCTAAAAGTAAAGATGAAAAAGATAAAGATCGACACAGGAGTGACAAGGATAAACACCATAGGGACAAAGATAAGCACTCCAGTTCAAAAGATAAAAACAGGTATATATAGACAAGTATTTTTAATTAGAATTTAAAACTGACAGTATCCAGTCACATATATTTGACACCATCAATAGTTGTCAAAAGTCAGTAACATTTGGTTAAAATTTTTTGTAATGAATGCACCTGCATCTTAAACTACAAATTGAATGTATTTTGCAATTTTGGTTTCAGCTCCAGCAAGAACAAGGAGAAAAGTTCAAGTGAAAGAAATGAAAAGATAAAATCTGAGTCTCAGAATGTCATAAAAGATGAACCTATGGAGGTGTGTATGAGGGCTATTATTTTCTTATTGCATTCCAACATTGTCTGAAAAGCATAAATATAAAATCATTCTCCAAATATGCACTAAACCCTATAGTACTGCCATTCTCATAATGAGTTGTTTTGGTAGTTGTCTATTTATTTGGATGCCATTGTCCATGAGGGCCAAAATAATAATTTAGTTTTTTATTGTTAAGGTGGATCAACCAGTCTTAAAACGTGAACAAGATGATAGTGATGAAGGATATGCTGGAGCTAACACAACTGTCTCATCTTGTGACTACTCTATGTCCCAATTTAAAGATGAGCCACTTTCTGAACTGCCTCCAGATGATGAAAGTGAAGAGGATATACCACTAGTAAGTTGAATTCAAGAATAATCCATTTATACTTAATACCCAAATTTATTATAATATTAATTTTTTGACTCATCCTTGTCCTTATTTCCTATTTTTATCATACAGTAACAGTTCTTATTTTTACTAAATATATAGTTATCTAATAAAATGAATATATTATTTTATAGACTGCACGAAAAGCTAAAAAACGCCATGTTAGTGATGGTGAAGAAGACATTCCATTACTACAAAGAAAGAAATCTAAGAAAAAAGTAAAAAAAGGTAAAAGTCTTAACATTATTCTAGAAATTAATTATAAACAGCTTTTTGAACCTTTTGGAAATGTTTACAGAAGAGACTTATGAAGATTATGATGATTATGAAGAAGATGAAAAACCTAAAAAGAAAAAGAAGAGTTCTGAAAAAACTAAATCAGTTAAGGTGAAATCTGAGCCCATAGATGATGGTATCAGTCCCAATAAACGGAAGAAAAAACAAGACACAGAAACAGAACAAGTCTGGAAATGGTAATTAAAGGCTATTTTTTGCTCATTAAAATATTGTAAACGATTATTTATAGTCTGACATTGCCAAATTATCCAATGTTTTGTCTACTTTTAAAACCAATAATATCACAAGGCAAACTTTAATTTGTTGTGACTTCAGATTGCTCATTAGAACTTTTTTAACATTAAATATTTAATCTTAAACTCTGTGAAGTAACTGCTTTAGTGACACTTCATATCTAATTTCTACCAATAGATGGCGTGACATATCCAACCTAATTCAAGCATTGTCAGAAATAATTTGTCACATAACATCTTGATAGCATTTGACGTTGATAGAGGCTACCCCTCAAACATTTTAAATAATTCGAAACATAAGTGATCAAATTAAGCTGGATAAAATTCGTCAAATCATTTTTAGTTCGATATGTAATTGTGAATGTTCTTTTTTGAGGTTATATTGGTTTTTTGGATTATGTTTAAAGTTGTGAGTGTTATTGTGTGGAATAACAGTCCATTTTTACGTAAAGTATCATTAAGTTCTGTTTTTACCAGACACAAGCGACGATTTCCAAGAAGCAAGTTGGTTTTAAATGACTTTCCATTAACAGTCAGTTTTTTATATTTTTAGCGTGCACTTTATATTTAAATGTTTAATACAGGTGGGAAGAAGAGAAGACCGATGATGGAACAAAATGGACATTTTTGGAACATAAAGGCCCTGTGTTTGCTCCACCTTATGAACCTTTGCCTTCCAATGTCAAATTTTATTATGATGGTAAAGAGTTGAAACTATCTGAAGATGCTGAAGAAGTAGCAGGATTTTATGCACGCATGTTGGAACATGATTATACCACCAAGTCTGTTTTCAACACCAATTTTTTAACTGACTGGCGGAAAGTGATGACTCCGGAAGAAGCTAAACTTATTAAAGATTTGTCCAAATGTAACTTCAAAGAGATGCATGCATACTTTCAGAGTGTATCTGAAAAAAATAGAAATCGATCTAAAGAAGAAAAGGCTGCTTTAAAAGCCAAAAATGAAGAAATACAAAAAGAATATGGATTTTGCACAATAGATGGTCATAAAGAGAAGATAGGGAACTTCCGAATAGAACCCCCAGGGTTGTTTAGAGGTCGGGGTGAGCACCCAAAAATGGGGAAATTAAAGAGACGTGTTATGCCTGAAGATGTCTTAATCAATTGCTCAAAAGATAGTAAAATACCAAAACCACCTTCAGGACATAAATGGAGAGAAGTAAGACATGATAATACAGTTACATGGTTAGCCTCTTGGACAGAGAATGTTCAGCAGCAAGCTAAGTATGTCATGTTAAATCCCAGTTCAAAATTGAAGGGTGAAAAAGATTGGCAGAAATATGAGACTGCTAGAAAACTTCATAAGTGTATAGACAAAATTAGAGAAAATTACCGTGCTGATTGGAAGGCAAAGGAGATGCAGGTGCGCCAAAGAGCAGTGGCACTATACTTCATTGATCGATTAGCACTTAGAGCAGGTAATGAAAAAGATGATGAACAAGCTGACACTGTTGGTTGCTGTTCATTAAGAGTAGAACATATCCAGTTACACAAAGAAAAGGACGGTAAAGAATATGTAGTAGTGTTTGATTTCCTTGGTAAAGATTCAATAAGATATTACAATGAAGTGCCAGTAGAGAAACGTGTATTTAAGAATCTCGAAATATTTATTGAGAATAAAAAGGACAGTGATGATCTCTTCGACAGACTTAACACACAAACTTTAAATGAACATTTAAAAGACTTGATGCCAGGTTTGACTGCCAAGGTATTCCGTACATACAATGCTTCTATTACCCTACAGAAACAATTAGATGAGCTCACTGATGGTGATGCCTCTGTGCCTGAGAAGATTTTAGCTTACAATAGAGCAAACCGTGCAGTTGCCATCTTGTGCAACCATCAACGTGCTGTACCTAAGGGTAAGTGTAACTTTTGTTTAAATGATTTGTTTCTTATGTAAAATAAATTGGATATGACATCCCCAATTAAACTGATTCCATTTCTTATAACTATTTAAAAACTGTTAAAGTGATTCACATATTTTATTTAAGGACATTCTAAGTCCATGGAGGCTTTAAAAGAAAAAATTCAAGCTAAACGGGATCAAATTGATGAGGCTGAAGAAGACCTTCGACAAGCATCTAAAGCAGCAAAGCGAGGTTCTGTTAAAGAAAAATTAGCATGTGATAAGAAGAAAAAGGCACTTGAACGTCTCAAAGACCAACTTAAAAAACTGGAACTACAGGAAACAGACAGAGATGAAAATAAAACCATTGCCCTTGGAACATCGAAACTGAATTATTTGGATCCACGGATTTCAGTAGCATGGTAAGAAAAATGAACAAAATAACATTTTTTGCGCCTATAATGACAGCATCCAACACAATAATTTCGAAATGTTGCATGCTATTAAAATTAAATGAAGGGTTCAGCTCTCAAGCAGATGGCAGGTTCTCACGTGTGGAATATCTGGAAAGACTAAGCTGGTTCTCGCTGCTAGGTGACCATCTGCCTTTTCTGCTTTTGCTTTCATTCCTGCCACCCTTAAATGTATCTGACAACCATGGCGTGCCAAGGTAATTTGATATTCTGCAACTACATTGCATTCAAGTAGGACATGAGCTGCTGTCTCACCTAACCCCATGAAGGCTGCACAGAGAGTGATGCCAATAACTAATAGATGTTTGTTACAAAGACTGGTCTATCAGCAATACCATGGGTACAGATAAGCTATAACCCAGTTATATAATAAAATTAACTATCTAATTTACAGGTGCAAGAAACATGGTGTTCCAATTGAGAAAATATATAACAAAACGCAAAGGGATAAGTTCCGATGGGCAATAGACATGGCCGGGCCAGACTATGTCTTCTAGTTTCAATTTTAGAATAATTAGCAGCTCTATTTTTATATGTTGAATATAACGTCCCAATTATACAAAATGATGTATAAAATCAGTTTTATGAACTTACATTTTACAAAGTTCACTATGTGATGATGTATTTAAGGTTCAAGTAAAGTTTATGTATTAAAAAATCCGAACATTGTTCCTCCTTTTTTAAATTAGAAGTCTGATTCTAATTATTTTATTTAGTTTGGACTTTAGTTCTCGATCCCTTTTTAGATTATTTAGACTAATATGATAGTTCAAGGAATTCTAGTTTTAAGATTTTGTGTAAGACTTGCAACTTGGTCAAAAATTTGTTCTCATTTACAAAATAACATTTAGCTAGCCATAATGATAGTATTATCTGAAAATAATTCTTATAATTAAATTACAAGTTGCTAGTCACTTTTATAAAGAATGACAAAATGTTGTGAATAAGTCATTGTGATGTGTAAATACACATTGTAAATATTAGTGAGGCTCATAGTTCACTAAAGTTCAAATGCATAAATAATAATGTTGAATGTGCTTGTGAAAATACTATTCGGTATTGTGAATAGTGAAGAAAACTTAACTAAGGCTAATTTAAAAGAATATTGTATCGAAAAGCAAATGATGTTAGAAAACACTGCAGTGGTGAATCATGTAAAATAAAATAAAATGTAATGGTTACTTTATTTTTATAAAACAAAAAGCAATAGCTATATAAGATTATGAAAGGTACAATTCTGTAGTGTGTTATATGTTCATCTTGTAAATATAAAATTTTTACCATGTCATAAAATTGTGAAATGAGATTATCCTAAATAAAAACAGTGACATTAGGAACGATGTCTTTATTTATTTTCAATATGTTAATCGCCTTCGTATTCCTTCTGAAAATAATCACCTTCAACTCCTACTGGCAAATAGGTAAGTCCAGATTCTTCCTTACTCAGGAGATTGTATCCACTTCCATACCCTGAAACAGTCATAATATAGGTACTCTAGCGCTGTATGAAGTGAGTGCAGATTAGCTTTCATATCAAATATTGATGATTTATAATAATAGGGGTTAATGTATGAAGTTGCCGTTTTATTGTAATAGGGAATTACTTCGAATTGACATAGAACCTTCTGGTTTGAGAGTTAGTGAAACTTTTTTCAAAAGGTACCTATGGGGTTCTTTTTAAAAGTGTCCAGCATTCGATGATCAGCTTTCAGAAGATTTTTTATTCAGTTTAGACAAGAAAGATACTCGAAAATTCCTGTGATTGTTGAATACAAGTTCCGACGCGGAACTAACGCTGCAGAAACAGATCGCAATATCAATGTTGCGTTTGGAGAGGGGACTAATGAACGCACCCTGCGATTTTGGTTTAAACGCTTTCGTGATGGAAATTTTGATGTGAAGAACGAACCACGTGGAAGTCTGCCCACACATGTGAATAAAAATGAATTGAAAGAGTTGGAAGAAGAGTTGAAGGTCACCAAGCGCCTGCTGACTATGTGCCAGGAAAGGATCCGGAGTTTCTTTGGGCACATAATGCGATCCTCATTGCACAGCCTGGAGAAACTCACAATTCTCGGACAGATGGAGGGGAAGCGCGCTAGAGGAAGAGCGCCAGCTAGATGGGTTGACCAACTCAAGGAGGTGACTGGAGGCCAGATATNCACAGCCTGGAGAAACTCACAATTCTCGGACAGATGGAGGGGAAGCGCGCTAGAGGAAGAGCGCCAGCTAGATGGGTTGACCAACTCAAGGAGGTGACTGGAGGCCAGATATGGGGAGCGGTACATATGGCGCAGAACCGGACCGAGTGGAGAAGATTGACATACAGTCACGATCCTCAGCATTGAGGGAACGACCAGAAAGAAAGAAGAAAGAAAGAGTTGGTGAAAGCGAGCCAAACCGATCTGATCAAGCAATAACGGCAGATTTCTACTGTGCCGAACTCCGAACAATTATAGCAAAACTTGCAGTGAAACAGCCCTCATGAATCGATCTTCACCATTATTGCTCCATGATAATGCGAGACGTCATATAGCACGAGAAACCGAAACTAAATAGAGTAATAAACAATATATGTACGGCATATTTCACACAAATCTACAAAGTCATGTATGCTAAATCGAAGTACGAAATAAATGTTTTCTCTATGAATAGGTATTATTTCATTAATTTATGTTGACGAAAGAGAGTTAGCGGCCAGGGTGATCACAGTTGCTTAATATCAGGAAATTCATTTGTATTTATATACTTTGTAATTCGAGGACAACATTGAACTGCCTTAAAACATAAGCCTATCTGACCAAGACAATACAGATACAGCAAACTGAGGATTTTTAAATATTTTTGTAATATTGAAACAAAGCCAATAAACTCTTAGGGTTAAAGTTAATTAACTGCCTAATTGTTATAATGGCAGCATAGTTTAGATTATGAATACAAGTTTATTCAATTAAGTCTTTCTCACGAAAACTTGAAATTCCATTCAAAACAAGACGAATAATGGGTACAGTTTTGTTGTAACAATTACCGCATAATGGACAATAGTATTTATTTTCGACTGCCAGTGCCAGAGGCATTAACTTCAGATATTTTGATTATAATAGTTACAGACCCAGAACACGCTCATCTTTTTAATTGTTAATGAAGTTTTAAATTAAATACTGTCGTATTTTTAGGTTTTCAGCGAACTAACCTATTTGCTTCATTAGCTTGGTCGGTGCATTCCGTAAATGTAATGGAACTGGTGGGAGAGGACCTTTAGTTTCTTTTAGAGATTGTTGACACCGTTTCAGTGCGTTGTATACTTCTCGACTCTTCGGAGCCCGGGCTAATCTCACAGCACACTGAGCCAACAGGACGTCACACTCGGGCATCCCTATTTGGTGGCAACCTTGAAAACACGCAACTGCTTCTACTAATGCGGATTGATCGGCTAATCCTTAAAAGAAAGAAGGAATGTAAGATTGAAAGCTAAAAATAAACAAATTAATGACTACATTAAATAATAAGCGGCCTTGTTTCTTAAAGTAATCTGTTCTACGCAATGATATATTAGAGACAATGAAAGAAATCAATCGCCTCTATGCGATGATTTGGAAGCGAATTAAATTTTCCCTTGATAAGGCAGAGAGTTTTGTAGAGAGTCACCATAATAAGGTGACTCTACAAAACTTGCATACATCCAGTCATGACCTATGCAAGTGTAGTTACCGCTCACGGGCCCGCAGTAATTTAAAACCCCTTCAAGTAATTCAATCCCGTTTTTGCCGTCGGAGCACCGTGGTTCGTGAGGAACGCGGATCTTCACGATGGTCTGGAACTAAACTCCATCAATTAGTATCTTTAGTCGACATTACTGCGCCAATCTAAAAATCGGCGCGACACGAAAACGCTTTTGTCGTGGCCGCCGCGCCGGTAGCTACGTGACCAGATGTTGTGTGCTTAGTGCGAGTTTTTTAACGTTCTCGATAGCGTAAAAGTAGCTCAAATTTGTATGGAGTTGGAATGTTTGCCTACGTTTTCTGCTAGGGGCGCTGTTTTTACGCTATCGAGAACGTTAAAAAACTCGCACTAAGCACACTGTAGACCGAATGGTAAATAGTCGACTTCTCCCAAAACACGTCATTTCGGATCCTCCCAATCCATTTTCGGTCCTTTTAGGCTGGTTTTAGTGTTACGCGTTTCGGTAGCGCCATTGGAGCGCGCGCGTTCGAAGATGTATGGGGTAGTAGTTGCGTTTCAAAGTCACGCGCTTGAGCAGCGCCGTTCAATAAGCGCGCGATGTTCGCCGACGCTGCCTAAGCGTAAATTGGACAAAGATGTTACGTGTTCGCCTCTCAGTAACCTTGTAGCGTTATAAGGATCAACTACTCTTCTTCGAAGCCGCCGTTGCCTTCTTTTCCATAAAAAGTAAATAGCCAGTATTCTAACCACATTAACCTTCATATTGTATAATAACCGGCAAACTTCTTGAGCATTTGGTGACGTAGTGGGGGTAAGTTTGCGCATGGTACACTCACGTGCAAAAACATTACTTACTCTGCGTCATAATGCTATTAAAATTATTAAAATCAACATATGTATTTATTTATTAGAACATCAACAAAACATATAGGTTAATAATTGTAATAATTTAATCTTGGGGTAAAATAGATATTCCTTCTATTAAGTCAAAACTAGAGCTGTTGCCAGGTCTTGGTTCAGTTGAAGCGAAGCTGGTATTTGTATATTTTTTTTCGTTATCATAATCTTGACCATCATCATCATCACTGTTTTCATCACCCGAGTCGCTATCATCGTGATGAGTCGACATAGGGCTCATCGGCGTAGTTTACAACTCGGTCGATTCGGTCTTCTTTTTTGTCTATAATTAATTATTTTTTGAAGATATTCGATTCGTAGTAATCGAATGTTACTTTTTTCATTTACCAGCTTCCGATTATTTTCTGTTCTTTTTTTCCATCTGAAGCCTAGCTCTTTCATAATTCGTCGTAAGCTTCATTCCGAGCCATTAAAATTTATATCTTCTTTAAATTTTTCGAAGCCTTTCTACGGTACGGAGTTTCGCTGCTTGTTATGTAGTTATTATGATTACATCTTTTTATTACAGATTGAACGAAACTATCCATTCCGGTAACTTTCTTCTTCCCTGATCTTTTCTTACCCGGAGTCCGAAACACGGCGAGCAAGCCAGAGCCTTTAGCTTCGTTAATAATGCACCTAACAGTACTCACTGATGTTTTTGTTGCTTCCGAAGTCTGTTTTAATTTTTCCATATCATTCTTCCCCTGTTTTATAATGAAGCAATATACGTCGTACACAAATTTTCTACCCTTTCTTTTAAGTACTACACCAGTTTGTCACGGCATAGTGTATGTTTTATAAAAAATCAACAAACACTCAACAAATAGCAATGGCAACAAAGTCCACAAGCAATTATAACAAATAACTTAACGATTAATAACGATAGACTTTCCACTGTACGCAAGCGTACTTTTGGGAGCAAGCGGAATGAGGGCGCGGTGCGGGGCGCAGGGTTCGACTGATCTACCAATAACGCGCTCGATACGATTTCCCCTGCCGTCGCGCCTCACCCTCACCACCAAAGTGATCTAAAATTCGGTTCTGCGCAGTCAAGGTCATTTGCTCAAGACGTTTGCCGATTACTATACACGACTGACTCAGAGCAGCGGAACGCGCGGTACTAATCTCGTTTCACCGCTGTAAAAGCGCGCTGCCCAGCGGCGTGACTATAAAACCAGCCTCAGGTACCACAAGCATCAGTCATCGTTCTCGTCGAAGGGCTTCGCTTTCGAAGGGTTCGGCGAGTGAATTAACCAACAGACACAACCGAGTTTCTCGCCGGATCTTCTCAGTGGAACGCATTTCCTATACGATGGTAGATTCTGCATAGCACTGCTCTTACTAAGGTTTGTGTTAGCAACGTCCTCAGGCTAGAGCCCCGTGAGCTCACCTACTCGTTCGGTTACGCTGGCATAGCCCCTAAGCGACCAGCTCAGGTATGAGAAAAAAAATAGCTTTTTTTTTTCTACCTATAGATGCTGACAGCCTTGAGAGGCTATTTCTTTATATTATTATTAGAGGTGATTGAATAACCTGAAAGGGTTTCAAGTTAGTGCGAAAAATTAGCAATCACTGTACTAAGTAAAGCAAGTGTTAGACACACGTAATTACCGAGAATTTGTTTCAAAACCGCATACGTTTGTTCCAAAAAGTCCTAAATTCAGATTTTCTGACCCAAATAAACAAACGCTTAATACCTATGTCTTCACAGGCCATTCTAACAAATCGTCGCGCGATATATAATGGATCTTCGCCGCCGTGCATCGCTCGGGCTGTCCAATAAAGCGCTGCGTTATCGTCTCCAGCGCGGATACACTTTTGTATAGCAGATATCGTGTTGTAATGTTCTTCGCCGTGCTTGTCGTATACCACGTGCGAGCGCTACAACAAAAACACATATTAAAAAATAATCTAAGATGAAAACTTCAATAATGACACAAAATATTACAGTATTTCGTATTTATTAAAATTACATTAGTTGAAGTTTTGAGATTGATCGATTTACAATTTTGCGGAGAAGAGAGAAACTCAGTTCTTTACCTGCAACAGGAGTGTTGACGAGATTTGTGTCGCTCTATTATAACGAAGACATTATATAAAATAAATCGATCACAGACTCTAAAAATTTTCTTGAGTCTTTCGCCGTGGTCTAAAGGACAAGAAAGACGCCCGGTGCATTTCGTATCGAGCGGTGTATCTGTGCCGGTGTTCGAATCCCGCGCAGGCAGGTACCTTTTGCTATTGTCTTTGAAATCGTCGTGGCCTAACGGATAAGACGTCCGGTGCATTCGTGTTGAGCAATGTTCGAATCCCAGGCGGGTACCAATTTTTCTAATGAAATACGCACTCAACAAATGTTCACGATTGACTTCCACGGTGAAGGAAATAACATTGTGTAATTTAAATCAAACCATCAAAAATCTTTATATTCCTAATTACTGTTGGTAGGGGGGCGTCTTGTGAGTCCGCACGGGTAGGTATCACCATCCTGCCTATTTCTGCCGTGAAACAGTAATGCGTTTCGGTTTGTAAAGTAGAGCAGCCTTTGTTCTGTAAAACTGAGATTTAAAACTAATGTCTCAAGGTGGGTGGGGGGGTATTTACGTGTCCGTATCTAATGTATCTATGGGCTCCAGTTATCACTTAACACCAGGTACACCCTGAGCTCGGCCAGCAATATAAGCAACAAAAATCCACCCACCATCAATGAAACCACTTTCGATTGGTCTAATTAGAAATTTATGAGCATACCTGTTTAGCGGGGAACAGGCCAAGGATAAAAACAAAAGAACCTTTATTCCATCTTTGATATCATCATGTGTTAACACTGCTGGGCCGTTCAGGTGCACATCCGAGCCCGGATCTCTAGCATTAAGCGCCAGTTCAAGGGCGCTTAAAGCGACTCTAGCGTCTCCATCACACATTTCTGCCAGCCATTGCAAAGAAGCTTCTTCAATTAAATACCTATTGGTTAATAAAAAAAATATTTAAAAAAAATCTTATTTTTTTTTATTGCTTAGATGGTTTGACGATTTCACAGCCCACCTGGTGTTAAGTGGTTACTGGAGCCTATAGACATCTACAACGTAAATGCGCCACCCACCTTGAGAGAAAGTTCTAAGGTCTCAAGTATAGTTACAACGGCTGCCCCACTCTTCATACCGAAACGCATTACTGCTTCACGGCAGAAATAGGCAGGGTGGTGGTACCTACCTGCGCGGACTCTCAAGAGGTCCTGCCACCAATTTTAGTTAAATTATTTAGTATTGTTTGTTTGTTGTGAATTGCTTTACCTGGGTATGGTTTGATCAGGTTCATCACTCTTGTTCACAGTTTCCTTTGTATTAATAAGTTTTGCTTCATTGTATCCAACGGCTTTCTTTAAAATAACCATCACATCTTCAGTGGTCAGTTTGTCCATGACAACAACCCGGCATCTACTAAGTAGAGCATTATTGAGACTGAAAGAAGGATTTTCAGTTGTGGCTCCAATCAGAGTTATTGTACCATTCTCCACATGGGGCAGGAAAGTGTCCTGTTGAAGTTTGTTAAACCTGAAATTTAATTTTTAACTAGACTTAGATACACGGCCATGTCCATACAACTCTCAAATAAAGTACTATCAACGATTAGTACTCCATCTTTAATATACGGGGTGTTAGGAGACCGCTTCCGAAAACGAAAATCTTGTATCTAAAAAATGGTTGGGGAGCGCGGTATCAGCGCTGCGCCGGTGTGCGTGTAAAAGAAACGCCGCACCGGGGCGTTCGTTGATCCGAGCATCAGCTGTTTTTGATTTACTGTTCCATTGCTGGTTTTTTTTTTAGTAAAGTAATGTATTTTTTATTGGAACTTTCGTTTCATTTCGTACTAACATGATGGAGCGTAAATAATGCTAATAAAACGTTTTAAAATTTTTACTATTTTCTTTAATCAAGATCCAATTTCCGTCCCTTCATCAAAGGTGTTATTAGCACTGTCTGTCTTCGTTTTCGGAAGCGGTCTCCTAACACCCAGTATAGTAAATCTATTTACGGCCCAATCAGTAAGATGCTCGAAATATTATTAACAAATTATAAGATTATGATGGAATTCAAGTCCTATATGGCTGTTGCCATCGCACTTCCCGCCTCCGAAACAGTTCGTATGCATTGACTTAGCTATGTCCTTGGCATTGTTTGACCATTAGCGACAGTAACCCCCTTACCAGGCGAACCGTTTACTCATCTACCTGCAAAGGCCTTAAAAATACAAATTACATGGACAATGTAAGATTAACGTGATGTATTCAATTTTTTCTACATAATTAGGTACCATTCATACCATTTTGGCTGCACAACTGCGATGCGTTCTAGATTTAAAGATGGTATATACGTTAATACAGAATCCTAAAGTTGTGTTCACACCACAAATGGTGATTTCAATGTAGGCATTTTTTTATTAAATTAATTTATTAATTAATTTAAATTTGTGGATTGTGTTGCGTGAACTAAAAGACTCAAAGGGAGCGACATTTGCGTCATATCTAGAATCGGTTTTTTTTCATTGCTCAGTAGCTCATGAGCAAACTGGTATTAAGTGATTATTGTAAGCCCTTACCACAATACGTATACAACATCCTCCTCTGCAACCAATTGTTTAACACAATGGTTATCCCACCTTTCTATACGGAATGCAGGACTGTTCTGCTGCAGATTTAGGCAAGATGATGGTGACCCACCTATGGGGACTGACATTACCTTAATTACTGGTACAATCGTAGTATGCTGGTGTGCATACTTAGCATAGGCAGAGACTTTGCTGTGCCTCTGGAATTGCTAACATTAATGACCTACTGTGTCACTTGCCATCAGGTTGGCCGGATTATACCTGCTTACCAGGGCAATAAAAAAGAACATTGCTGCCCAGGCCAAACAAGCACAATTTCACTGCTGAACTCTTTTGTACTTATTACAAACATAATAATACACAAGTATTATGATTAGGAAGTTTACATGCTAAAGCTAATTAAACACTGCAATTTACACACAGTACTAGTTAATTTTTTTTCTATAAATGCCTAAATCTGCAACAATTGTAGAAATGACTAATCTGCAATTTACAATACAATAATCATATGAGATACCTAACTCAAGATGACAGCATCACAAATATACAAATACACCTTCTTTGACCAATTCAATTTAATACCATTTACCTGTGGATTTCATCCATGAATAAAATAGTCTGGTTTTTAAATTGTGCATCATTTTTTGCTATTTTAACAATTTCCTTTACATCATTGATGCCAGATGTAGTAGCTGATAATTTTACAAATTTTAAATTATTTTGTTTTTTACAAATATTAGAGATGACATTTGCTAATGACGTCTGAAATAATCAAGAAGATGAATAATTGAATAATTACATAGATTTATTAAAATACTAAGCTATGCCAGTGCCTTTACTTATAACTAGTCTAACTGGTCACATTCTTATACTCACTATGGGTATAAAAAAATATCAGTATTTTTGGAATTTATCACTTTCATCACACAATGATGCTACATGAGCGTAACCTTCCTTTAGTGCCAATAAGAACTGTAGTAAATTTAAACACAAATGGAAGAATGGTTCGGGAATGTGTAGAAAACAAAAAAATTTTATTTATATAGCTATTAGAGTATAGTAAATCTTATATCAGTGATAGACTAACAGACCTTATTTTATAACTAGGTTATCTCTGTAGTCCAGTGGTTAGTAATATTGACTGCGGAATCTTAGTAGTCAAATTTTTTCCTTTGAGATATATAATATTTAAGGTCTAAATGTATTCACTTTCATCTCTTCAAGTGTATTACTAAGGACATAAGATATGAAAATATGCTACATTGGGATTATCGAACAGTTAATATTATAACTCATCCCTCCAACTGATTCCTATTCCTTTTGCCAAACTAGAGCCTAATATATTCATAATAATTAATATCAATAGATAGTCAGTCCTAAGCTTTAAATATAAATGAGATACATGTAGAGCTTATGTCACATATTGAGAAATTGTGGAAAGAAGTCGTGAATCCCAATTCTCTACAGTATTTTTTGTTACAATTTTTAATGTAGCATAACCTTTCCGCAGCCTGGTGGACCCCACAAAATCATGTTAGGAATCTTGTTTTGTTCAAGCATCGATCGGAGCATTGAATCTGTGCCAAATGATTGCTTTTGTCCAACGATCTGGTCCAGAGATTTTGGCCTTAAAGACTCTGATAGAGGTATTTTTATGTTTTCATTTGTGCTTATTTTTTGTGATTGTGAACTCTGTTGAAAGATTTGAATTAATTTGAATTATGTTTTAATTTAATAACTAATAGAGATATAGTGAAGCAATTGAATTGCTGCATGCTAGCATTCCTCCATCCAGAAGTCATAGGTTCAACATGAGCATGCTATATGCATATTTGTCAGTATGTTTTAATTTTTTATGCAATATTATATTGGTATATTTAATAATAAGTGCTAGCTCCTTGTACTTGTAACTGGATCTACACAATTTTATCTATACTCTTACTGTTAAGATAATAAAAAAAAATTTGTTTTTTTATCCACATCACCTTCAAGTTTGGAGGCAAAGCTGTTAACTTTTCAACTTTCTTTCTTTTTTCATTTGGAGATAATAGTTGTTGCCCTTGTCTTTTCGAATTAGATTTTTCACATGAATTGAGAAAAAGACATTTGTTTACATGTTCCTCAATTTCAGTATTTTCAAAACTTCTATTACATATAGGACAATTCACAGTCTTTGTACAATCACTCATATTTTTATATTTTCAATTTTATGAACCTGTAACAAGTAACTCGCATGATATAATTAAATTTACTGAACTTATGTAGAGGTACACTTACTTCAAATAAAATATCAATTAAATTTTTTAAAGATTTTATTACCTGGTGAAGAGACCTTCAAGCCAAGTCTTATATTTTCTTATTTTGTTTTCATAATTGAAAATTTGGGATGATACAAAAAAAGGAGATGGGATAAATAAAGAAGGTAAAATGGTGGTTATTTACTAAAAGACTTTTTCAGTGCACTTTTTGGAAGAACCTGAGACCCAATGTCCAGCGCATTTATTTCACTTTCCCTCCCTCGTCAGTGATTAGTGCACTTTCAGAGATATTGATCAGTTAATAAATCACCGATAAAACACGTCAAAACCCTAAGAAACTAAATTGACAAAATTCACACAACTTCACTTCTCGCATTCCCGCCAAAAAAGTTCAAGTAGTCCCACCCAATGGTTTCTTCTTTAGTTTTTGGATCCGGCACGGTTTGTGCATTAGCCAGCGTCAAGTAATAAGATTTTTATGGTACTTATTAACTCCATGGATTTTTATAAATCGCCGTTTTATTTATTTAAAGTTTATGAATAATAAAAAAGGAAGGAAACTTAATTAATTGGCATGAACTTAAACAAATGAGATAAGATGATATGAGATGAGATGAAATATAATCTCAGTAAAATGGTGGTCATTTACTGAGACTTTTTGGAGCATCTTGAGAAGTTACATTCAGCAGCTTTGTTTCATTTTTCCACATGTGTGCACTTTCACAAATACTAAATAGTCAAGAGGACTCTGTGGTCAGCTCTAGTGCGAATATCACGTGGTTGTCATCGCGGTCTATTAAATATTATTTTTGCATGTTATTTGTAAATATTTCCTTATTTGTGAGTGTTTAACATTTATTTATTTAGTTTAGTTTATGTTTCTCGGTGTTGGTAAGTAGTTTTATATTCTTTAAATATCATTTTTTCTTACTCATTATAAATTAATTCTTTTTTATGGTGTACCCTCACTTATAAAATGTAATATGAATTCTGACAAAAATAAACCTCCCGATCCGGGGATACCAGAACATGATTCTGAATCCCGGGATAGTGAATCCCTAGGATCTCCAAGTTTTTCAACATTGACAGCTCCTTCCATTCGGTCAAGTTCTTCCTCACCTATTCCTGACGTCGAGCTATTACCAAATGAAGCCTCATCGCGGAAAAGAGGCCCAATCGCAGATGATCAGTCCATTAGACACAAAATAACTAGGATTGAAAATTCGACAAAATCATCGAAAAATAATCAACCTTCGACCCCGGCATACACTCGTAAATACCTATCATCAGATTTGGGACCTTTTGCAGTACATGTTTCTAAGATTGAAAGTGACCCCTCTTCAGGAGTATCAATCCACCCTGTAAAATTTGGTCAATTCATCTTTAAACATAACATTCCACATATCNTGAAGCCAGCAAAGAATGAGACAGAAATATACATACTATTTAATACAGCGCCATCTGTGAGATTTTTTAATACTAACGTGTGTATGAAAGCTCTTGTTAATTTAGGATTATACGTGAAATTAAAATATCAATTCACAGAGGGCGCTACCTTACAATTATTTACTAATGACAAAATTTTACATATACTTAAGACGTTTAGGATTGTATTTTTTGTATTTTATTTTAATTGTATTTTAATTTTGGAAGTTTTCACTTCTACCACGTGTGAATTGCACACATGTTTTTTTTTTATTGCCCTTGTAGGCAGACGAGCATACGGCGCACCTGATGGTGAGTGGTTACCGTCGCCCATGGACTTCAGCAATGCCAGAGGCAGAGCCAAGCCGCTGCCTATAGCTTAATAATAATTCGTTAGCATGCCCTACACAGATGGGGGCGGGGTGTGCCTGTACCTGCTGATGCTCTGGTAGTTCCAGTGCGTGACGGCGTGCAGCGAGGTGCCGGAGGGCGCGCCCACCTCGCCCTCGAAGGCGGGCAGCAGCGGCATCACCACGTACACGCGGAACGCCTCGCCGCCGCGGTGCGCGCGCATTATGCGGTTGAACAGCGCCTCGCCGATCTGCACCAGAGCGGACATCCGTATAACATTATACTGGTGGTAGGACCTCTTGTGAGTCCGCGCGGGTAGGTACCACCACCCCACCTGTTTCTGCCGTGAAGCAGTAATGCGTTTCGGTTTGAAGGGTGGGGTAGCCGTTGTAACTATACTGAGATCTTAAAACTTAAGGTAGGTGACGGCATTCACGTTGTAGATGTCCATGGGCTCCAATAACCACTTACGTTCAGGTGCGCCTCGCCCACACGCCTAAGCAATAAATAAATAAAACACATGTTCATTTTACATTTGAACCAAACAGCATTCGAAAACTAAAAGATAATTATAATCTTATTAGTGAAAATTACTATCGCATTTAAAATTATTATTAAAATAATTTTCTTAGGGACGACATTGAAAATAAATGCGATTTCTTAATTATTATTCGAATTGTGGATGAATGAATGGTAAGTTATATAAAACCATAATATTTTGCACTGCGTTAAAATTCGCATGTCACATAATGACAAAGCATACACGCTGCTTTGAACTTATATAATAACTCATTTTCACTGCATATGCTTAGCGAATAAATTATTTCTTTCTTTCTTTCGGTTTATGACACGCTTGAGACCAACCTGGTTCCGGACCGCAACGCTGGATCGAGACAGCGTGATGAAGAACTGGTTCTCGATGTAGAGGTAGTGCTGCGCCCTCGTTATCGTATCCACGTACGCTTCATGGATGCTCTGCTCCACGGTGTCCGGGTCGAGGAACCCGCCCGACCAGCTCGACACGCTGCGTAGAACCTTTAGAGAAAGAAATATAACTCTAAGTCAAACTCTATTCATTTTTGAGAAAACATTAGATGTCGGCGTTACTGTCAAATATCGATATTTTTGGTGACTAAGAATGTCGGAAGAAGGCATCCTAAAAAGTATTGGTAAGATTGTGTAAAGGGGATATGTAAGAGAGATGCTGTATGATAGGCCTGAATGAAAAAAGAGTACATGCTGAGCGCACTCCACATGGTGACATAAGAACAAGAGAAAGAGATATTAGGTTAAAAAAATATAAGGTGGATTACTTTTTTAATTGTCTATAATACAAACTTATAGTTGCTGTTTCGTTCACAAAAAAAAAAACGGTGCGCGTGAATGAAGTGAAACTTCTTTTTCGATGTGTAGTATTGTGGTTTTCTTCATTTTTCATCCTTAAATCAGATTGCTCTTGTAATAGGGAATGCTGTGTATAAGAGATGCGACATTTTCAACATTTATATAATATATATTTTAAATTATAGAGAGAAAAATAAATATATATATTCTTTAAATACTTCATTAAAATATTGGCCGCTACTCGTTGCTAACGCTCGCGCTGGCCTGTAACAAGTATAATACTACGCGCATGCGTTCGAGTGTCGCGCGTTCACTCTCGCTCTGTCTCTTTCTATTCCATGGTAGCGTTATACGTTTAACGCAATTTTGTTTGAAGTCTCACATTAGAAGTTTCACTTCAATAAAAATATGAATTCTTTTCTTTTATGTGTTATGGGTACCAAAGACACCCTCGACCACCAAAGACACTCCGACTAGAAATCGATCCGGGCATTCCAAGTACTGTGGCTAGAAATTCTAAGCACTCATTCAATTACCTAAAATATTGTATATGGCACGTGCATCTCACCTGACAAGACACGTTGTTCATATCGATGTTCAGTAATTTGTCGAAGTCCCCTAACGGCTCTATGTCGCTGTATGTCTTCGGCACTAAGTAAGGGTAGTTTGTGTTTTGTCTGTAAATCAATTATAATAATGTTTTTAAAATTGCATTAATGAAATAAACTGACTAGATTTATTTTTTTAAATTTATATTACAGTTAATGAGAATAGAAGAATTGACGGTTGCCATGGAAACACATTTGTTTGTTGTGCAGTTTCTCTTATAAACAAAAAATAGCAATTGTTTTTTTAATAACACATTCCTTGTGGAATAACGATTCTGTTTTTGAATTAGCATTTGCTCGACGCTGATCAGTGCTTGAGGTATCTAAAAGCACGGTTAATGGATCGGAAGGATCCGTAGCGCCTTTTTTATTTTTATTGCTTAGATGGGTGGACGAGTTCACAGCCCACCTGGTGTTAAGTGGTTACTAGAGCCCCGTAGACATCTACAACGTAAATGCGACACACATCTTGAGATATAAGTTCTAAGATCTTAGTATAGTTACAAGGCCCTTTTTTTAACGCTTGGGAATCCATTTACGTATACCCGGTCCGGGGGGGTAACGAACCGGGTTATGTCGGACATAGTTATTATTATTATATATATTATACATATAGTTACAAGGCCTACCTAGCCTTTTCTAGTTTGATAGCGTTCCATCGCTGTATGAAGTGTCGCGCGACGTCCCGCGCGGCCGCGCCCTGCACCACCAGCCCCACGTCGTGCCACGGCATGCGCGGCGTCGTGTTGCGGTCGACTAGATCTATAAATTAACGAGAAATTTAAAAACCGAAAAATCACACCCTGTATATTATAGCCTTTAAAACAAAAAATCACACCCTGTATATTATAGCCTTTAAAACAAAAAATCCAACCCTGTTTATTATAGCGGTCTTATTCACAGAGTTACTATGAGTTTTTATAGCTTTTTACTGGTGGTAGGACGTCTTGTGAGTTCGCACGGGTAGGTGGCACCGGTTTGAAGGGTGGGGCAACCGTTGTAAGCTATACTGAGACCTTAGAACTCATATCTCAAGGTGGGTGGCGGCATTAACGTCGTAAATGTCTATGGGCTTCGGTAACCACTTTACACGAGGTGCACCGTGAGCTCGTTGAGGCATTTAAGAAAAGAAAAAAGTTATCGGAGGTTTATAAGCCTGTTATAATAAGACTGCTTAAAAGCTATTATTCGTAATAAGGCCACATGAATAATATTTTGTGCCGGCAGGTTTTTTAATATTTTTTATTTCAGTCTTTTTACAAACTAACTGTTGAATCAAAACATTTGCGAAATAATAATGTTAGTTCAATAAATTATATTCTAATTATAAAGCTCCGATAACTTATGAATAAATAAGGGTAATTATTATGTTTTTCATCGATAGTTGCACAATAATTCAAATACATAAGATTTAACTATGATAAATTGACACCTGAACATATTGACAATTTACCTTTCACTTTATTTGTATTGAGATACTGTTTACTACCGACGGTTACCGTGATATGAACATGCGATGCGTAGAGAGGAGATCCATGTGACTATATAGCAAATGTATGGAAATGATAGGGCAAGGTAGAAGAGGAAGAGGTCGAACGAAGAAGACATGGATGAATGACGATATGAGAGAGAGAGAGGAATGAGTGTTGAGATGACGGCTGATAGAAAAGAATGGAATAGAAAAATTCGCTGTGCCGATCCAACCTAGTGGGATAAGGTGATGAAAAAGAAGAAGATACTGTTTACTACCCTATATATTTGAAAAACACTAAAATTTAAGCTTACCAATTAATTCAGCTACGTTAAAAGTTATCTTATCTCCGGCAGTTAAGAATGTCAAAAACTCACCGACAAACGGCAGATCCAAGTTGTTGAAATCTTTAACAATGAAATTCGTGTAATCCTTCCCGATCCACAACTTCGAGTTCCCCTCGACGCCTTCCAGCGCGTCCTTCGTGCTCTCGGTGATGACGCGTCCCTCGACGACCTGCGCGAGGGGTGCGGGGGTGCGCGCCGTCCCCCCCGCCCCCCGCACGCCCAGCGCGTCCGTGAGCAGCACGGAGTCGTTGGAGCGCGCGTACTTCTCGGCCTTCTTCCGCTCGGACTCGTCGAACTTGTGCTCGTTCCTCTCCTCGTCGAACAGTATGCTGCTGATGATGTCCTTCCCGCGGTCCGTCAGCTTGTCGAGCACGTTGCGCTTCTGTATCTCGGGCGTGTCGGTCCTGTAGTCGGGCCGCGTGGCGATCATGAGGCGGTCGCCCGGCTCTAGTACGGGCAGCTCCGGCTCCGGAACGCTCTCGGTCTCTTCGCTTTGTTCCGGCTGACTTGATTCACGTTCTTTTGCATTCAAATCTTGTAGTTCTAAACTGGAAAATAGATATTTATATATTATTACCAACTCCAGCCCCCCCATTATAGCAACGAGCCCTCGCTGGGCCTTCTCTTTCTCTCTTACATTACTCTCTCTCTCTTTCTCTTACATATAGAAATAACTATTTTTTGTAGTCGTTGTGGTCTAAAGGATAAGATCTCGCGTTGAGCGATGCACCGGTTTTCGAATCTCAGGCGGGTACCAATTTTTCTAATGAAATACGTACTCAACAAATATTCACGACTGACTTCCACGGTGAAGGAATAACATCGTGTATGAAAATATATAACCCGCAAAATTATATTTGCGTAATTACTGGTAGTAGAACTTCTTGCGAGTCCGCACGGGTAGGTACCACCACCTTACCTATTTCTGCCGTGAAGCAGTAATTCGTTTCGGTTTGAAGGGTGGAGCAGCCGTTGTAACTATACTTGAGACCTTAGAACTGTTATCACAAGGTGGGTGGCGATATTTACGTTGTAGATGTCTATGGATTCCAGTAACCACTTAACACCAGGTGGGCTGTGAGCTCGTCCACCCATCTAGGCAATAAAAAAATGGTATACGCTCGACATGGAAGCCATAGAAGTAAACTTACTCATTCAATCCGATGACGATATCTCTGGAGGTCTTGGCCAGCTCCAGCGCGGCGTCGATGCCATTCGCGTTGTGTATGTACAGGCCGCCCCCTCCCGGCGAACTGGAAGTCTTCTTCTTAGTCCTTATAGAGTTCTTCGGTTGAGCTATATTACCGAGATCCGTCAACCTGGAAAAGGGAGATAAGAGAGCACGTGATTATAATTGGTGACAGTCTATTTTATCGGGAAACACGGATCCCAGCCTCCTTGACTTACTAGTACCCTCACCCGTCCGCACAAGTATCTTCCCCTATCTTGATGACAATGCCTTAATATAAATACTAGCTGTACCCGGCCGCTACGCTGGGCATTTAAAACTAACATTATTATTTCTCACCCGCCACAAAGATTCTCATCATTAACGCCCCCGCAACTGGTGTAGAGAGTCCAACACTCATATAAATATTAAACCTATCCATTAAGTACATGTATTTTCTACATGGATACCAAGTTTCAAGTCAATCGGATGCATGGTCCAGTATTTATAACGGAACATCCGTAAAAACCACTGTAGATTTATATATTAGTATAGACAAATGAGATGAGGATCTCGATTACGGCAGCATCTTCGTTTTCGTATCTATGGTCTTTGACGACTGCTGGCTCATACAACGCATTAGCTTGTTAGTCCTTTTACGATAAATGATCTAATATATAAATAGACAAGGACCAAACAGCTAAGTACTATCTTCCTCTGTTTGTTTAACTATTTATTTTAGTAGATATAAAGAGTTGTAGTGCTATCAATAAAGATAAATTGCAAATAAATAGTCTGTTTTTTTATTGTCTAAAACTCGAAATGAATTTAAGCCTTGTGATATCAGTGATTATGGTTGAATTTGGATTGATGTGCGGACACTAATAGCTATGTTAAAGTTAAGGCATTTAATTATTGTATACCTAAACACAGAAAATAACAAAATTATAAATCATACAATTCTATATATTATGTTACAGAAAATTGATTACATTTTATCAATTTTGGTTTCTGAAAATTTAGAAAATCCTTCATTAAAAATAAAATATAGGATAGGTAATATGTTACTGACATCTACAGGAGCAATGAGAAACTAATCGAAGTGAAGCCATCTAGTGGCCGACGCCCGTAAACATTTTTGTTGAGTGCTTGAGATGCTATAAATATCTTCATCTAATTTATGTGTAGTATCTATGCGTCTCACCTGTGTCTGTGGTCGTCCCAGCGGCCGTAGCAGAGGTCGATGCCCCCCAGGAAGGCGACGCTCTGGTCGACAACGACGATCTTCTCGTGGTGCGCCCAGAAGAACACGCCGGCCTTCGCGTGGTCTGGGTGACGGAAAACCTACCGTTAGATAGGAGTTATAAACATTTAGACATGGCACGGATATCTTAGAGCGGCGATGTCGGTTCCAACGGTCGCCTGCCAATTGGTTCTAATCGCAACGGAATAAGGGTTATATTCCGCAATTGAACACGTAGGGCATTTTAAGCACTCCGCGTATATGTGGTCCGCACACTACTGGCGTAAAAATTCTGGCAAAAAGTGTAACTTTGACATAGCGACCAGTAAATGTGCGGACCAGCATATTGCATATAACCCAGTGACCAAGACTGATATAATATATCAGTCAACACACGGATGACAGAAATCAACCTAAATTTTAATTATTAATTAGTCGCAGGTTAATATTGAGAAGCGAAGCGCATCCATCGCGCCGTTTCGTGCAATTTCTTTTTTTAATCCAATAGTTTTTTTTTTTTTTTTATTGCCGTATATGCAGACGAGTATACGGCCCACATGATAGTGAGTGATCACCACCGCTCGTGGACGTCAGCAATGCCAGGGACAGAGCCAAGCCGCTGCCTACCGCTATGAAATGTTCAAGAAAATTATATACAAAATGCCACTACTCACTTTAATATTGTCATTAGCTAATCTACTTTTGCTGTAGTAGCTGTTGATGCCGAGCGCCATTTCAACTTCTTTATACAGCAATATAAATATTTTCACACCTTGCGCCTGAAAAGCAATACATAAGGATGATTATTTTGCAAGTTCTGAAGAAAACATTATACATAATATTTTATTTTATATTTACTTAGTACTATTTTTAGGTAAGTATAATAGTGTGCTATTTAGTGACAGATGCCGTTACTCGTACCAACATAATAATATTATCCACATGGAGTATTTTGCGTTCTATTGCGTATCTACGTACGTTGCTCAGAACTTTTGTTTAGTTTGCTTGAAGAGAACTACAAAAGCAATGACTTACTTCAAGAACCTAATACGGCCAGTTTCCATGGCATTAAGTATATCGAGGAAGTGAAAGACTATATTTTGACCTAAGCGACATTTTACTTTGTAATTAATTAGGTGCGTTCCAGGGTGAACAGTTTGATGTTTTCAATTGAACTTCATTTAAGTTTACTCCATTCAAATACCTGAAGAAGTTTTTATGTTATGACATTATTTCAAATCTTAAATGGCTCTACTAAATAATAAATTTGTATAAATGTCGCTTAAACCAAATAGCCTTTCAACCATCGATATGTTAATGCTTAATGCCCACGTATTTATATAAACAATTACGTCGCAATATTTCTATTAAAGAACGGCTATGTTGAATTTTATTAAGCTTTTTTTTTATTGCCCTTTTGCAGGCAGACGAGCATACGGCCGCCCACCTGATGGTGAGTGGTTACGTCGCCCATGGACCTCAGCAGTGCCAGGCAGAGCCAAGTCGCTGCCTACCGCTTAATACTCTCCACAAGCGTTTTTTTTTGTTTTTTTTTTAGCAATCACGCCACGATGACTGGTTCGGTGCTAAGTTCGTGTTACAAGTACCTACCACATAATGGAAATGAATGTAAGATTTTTATTATACACATACATATCTATACTAATATTATAAAGAGGAAAGATTTGTTTGTTTGTTTGTATTGAATAGGCTCCAAAAGTACTGAACCGATTTTAAAAATTCTTTCACTGTTTTGAAGCTATACTATTCCCGAGTGACATAAGGCTATTAATCTTTTTTGAAAAAATTAGGGATCCTTACTAAAACTCCAATAACGTAACCCAAGGTGTAAAAAAATTAACTAAAATATTCTTTACATCGTGTGCCCTGCGAAAACTATTGATGATAGAATAAAATAATGTACTACGACTTTGTAGACCTCATTATTAATTACAAAAAGTGTCGCTTCAGCATATTTCTAACCATTATAGTTATGACGCAATAAGTGTTCATTTATTTTAAAAAATAAAACAACGTCAAACATCGTTGACATTTTTGTTAAATACCCGAGCGGAGCCGGAGCGGGCCGCTAGTATTTAATATACATCCATAGCCCTGGAAAAGACATTTTATATTTATCATACAAATATCTCTCCTTGGCGGCGGGATTCGAGCCCGCGACCCCCTTGTGTGGTGACCATGTCACTTACCACCACACCAGACGGCCGTTAAGTTGTGCGACAAACAAACAAAGCTACTGACCGCTTTCCTCTTCAAGATCATATCGAGCCTCCAATAGTTTCCGTTGAGCGCGGGCCGCTTCATGTACACCTCGGGGCTGAGCCACCAGTCGGCTATGAAGATCTCCTCCCGCGCCAGCTCCATGGCGTCGGCCGCCGCCGAGAAGTACTCCGCGCCGTCGACGAGCGCGCGCGCGGGGGTGGCGGGCCGGGGGGGCGCGAACGAGTGGTGCACGTTCGGGTACGTGAAGTCGCGGGCTGAAACGAATACGCCATTATTATTTTTTCGTTTCTCGTTCCGACACGGTTCGTGCATTCGCCAGCGTCAAGTAATAAGATTTTTATAATTCGGCGTTTTAATTAATTTTGTTTATTTCATTTACTTCAGAATTTCATATAGTACAATAGAATTAAATTCGAAAAAAAAACCCATTATATTTTAATTAGTAGATAAACATAATATGTACAGTTTATGAATAATACAAAACGAAGGAAAAGACATATCAGAGGCATTTATATTTTTTTATATGAAAAATGATATTATGAAATGAAATGAAGTTGATTAATACGAAACATTACATTAACTGAAATGATATGGAATGAAATATAATGCAATTGAGAAACCACACAGTTATAAAATAATATTTAAAACCATAGCTTCGAAAAATATTTTAAAGTTGAAGTGCTCGGAAGATCCGACTTATAGTCACTATGCAGACCGAGAGCTCGTTTAACGTCGATTAGAGAATTAATGAAAATTGTAGGGTAGGTAGGCCAAGAGGCCGGCGCGTACAGGGTGTTCAAAAGTCGATATAGATAGCAGATACTCACCACTCTGATTAGCTACAGTCTTGAGGTAGTTCATCCACTCCTTGCTTTTTCGTTTCGTCCAGCACTTGATGACCATTTGTCGGCTCTGGTTCAATATCTGAAGACCGTGATTCATCCCAGTTGAGTACATGCCACTTGATACCTCGAAACTGTAATTGTATTTTTATTTTGTTACATGGCAACCCTAATGTGGCATCGTTCACTTTGATTAGGTACTAATTTTGTGTGAATTCATGATTTTTTGTTTTCATTTTTCATCTAGTTGGTTAAGTGGTTAGTGACTCAGACTACTGTACAACGGGTCCTAATTAGATTCTCAGTCTGAGTCATTATTTCTCTTAAAGATATGTGGTTTTTGGGGTTTAGATTTTTTTATCATTATGTCGGTTGTGTTTGTGTATGTGTAAGACAGAAGAAAATCTTAGCTTGGTGTCTAGAAAAATTCAAATAATTTACAAAGAGGACTGTTAAAGCTTATTAGAATAAAAGAGCCAGACTAAAAAGTCCAGTTACCAGTCGCCGTGAAAAAAGGAAAAAAAATTAGTTTTAACAATACAATTCAACTAGAGACAGCTTTTTTAACTTATAAAAAAATATCTTGCGATAATTATTTGTGTTAAAATTAATATTACCAAATTTTACAATTGCTTCCATATTTTAAAGTATAATAGAAAAGATTATGTACAATTATATTTACCTTCGACTACTTACTTAATTAACAAGGGCTGCATGTAAAAAGGAAAACAAGAAAGTAATCTGGATAATTTTTTTTTATTTTTTTTTTATTGCCCTTGTAGGCAGACGAGCATACGGCCACTATTAATAAACTACGTTATCCGATTACAATTGAATATGCAATTTCGAAAAGGGCACATCTCTGAAAATGTAAAATGTTCAGGAAATGAAAAATAACTGATTATTTTCTAAAGCAGTGTAAAATTTAAAATATTAACTTTTGAGATATATTTTAGTGTTAATTAGCAATTGAAAGTTACTGGAATTATTATAAAATGGGTGTAGGTAAGCCTCAAAACTACATGTATATGAAAAAACGTATTTAAACAAAATATGCGACATGTGCCCTTTTCGAAATTGCATATTAAATTATGCCAAACGATTTGTATCAGATTATAATACTAAATTTAAAATAATGTAAAATACTGAATAAAGGTTGATAATCGGATGCAGGTTGCATGAATATTTTATTAATATTCTAAATGGTTTTTTCTAGTCTCACCCTTGATCAAACAGCATAATGCCTTTGACAATTCCGTCCCGGGGTCTTATGTAACCGAAGAATGTGTCCTTGACGAAGAACCAGCGCTCCTGCCATTTAGCACAGACCAGACCGGTGCAGAAGTAATTACACCTGGAAAGGCCGATAAATGTCATTAGAACCGATCGGGATCGGAATAGTTCAGGCTAGAGAATCGAGAGAAATAATAAATAAATAAATATTTACTAACAATCACGATGCGTTAACGCAAAACGCATTAACTGGTCCCGTGGTAAGTTCGTAAAGAACTTGTGTTACAGTTACCAGCTAACGGAAATAAATGTAAGATTTTTTGAAATTATACTTCTTTAGGCGCATTATGAAAAATTGATGAGAGTGAAATTTTACGATGCGCGCGCACCGTGACACAAAATTAACAGAGACGAAGTTGCCCACTAAATCACACATTACAATGCGACCGACGTAACTTGGCGAGTCTGAATATAGCCGCAGGTGAACTTTCGCGCATGTACACTCGTAAAAAAAAATGTTATTATTAGCAATCATTTTTAATAATATAAGTGACAAAATTATTATTTAATATAATTCATACTAAATATTATTAAATTATTAACGTTAAATATTTATCATTAATTATTTAATATTTAAAAAAATATATATTATTAAAATAAAGTATAACTTCTTACGCGCGTACACGCACCCTTTTTTATTACACATACATAATATATCACTACATAGTATTAAACAAAGTTGCTTTCTCTGTCCCTATATCCCTATGTATGATTAAATCTTTAAAACCACGCAACGGATTTTGATGCGTTTTTTTTTAATAGATAGAGTGATTGAAGAGCAAGGTTTATATTATGTATAATAACATCCATTAAATAGTAGAGAAATCAATAATAAATTACAGTTTCCGAAGCGAAGCGAGGGCGGGTCGCTAGTTTAATATACATCCATAACCTTGGAAAAGACATTTATATTTATCACACAAATATCTTCCCTTGGCGGGATTCGAACCCGCGACCCCCTTGTATAGTGACCATGTCACTTACCACTACACCAGACGGCCGTTAAGTTGTGCAACAAATAACTAAAAAAAGCTACTGACCGCTTTCCTCTTCAAGATCATATCGAGCCTCCAATAGTTGTGTAGTGACCATATCACTTACCCATCAGACGGCTGAAAGAAAGAAAGGGGAAGGAGAATGATCGAAGGTCACCTGACACAGACGACGGTGCCCAGGAGTCCGAAGCAGTTGCATCCGGCCTGACCGGGCTGCGTGGAGCCGGTCCGCTTCTGTATCATGCCTTCCTTTCCTTTGCTTCCGAGCTCCGATATGAATGATAAGTTTGAAACCTCAAGAAATTTCACCTAAAATATACACACACGAGCCTTTTATGTAATTGAGTATTTTTTTTTTTTTATTTATTGCTTAGATGGGTGAACGAGCTCACAGCCGACCTGGTGTTAAGTGGTTACCGGGGCCCATAAACATCTATAACGTAAATGCGCCACCCACCTTCAGATATAAGTTCTAAGGTTCTCAGTATAGTTACAACGGCTGCCCCACCCTTCAAACCGAAACGTATTACTGCTTCACGGCAGAAATAGGCAGGGAGGTGGTACCTACCCACGCGGACTCACAAGAGGTCCTACCACCAGTATGAAAACCCGGTATTAACTGGCTGCCGGAGTCCATGGACATCACGTAGACGGGACGAGTACACGTTTTAAGTAAATATTCATGGATAATTGTGGACTGTTTATTAATTGATTTTCTACTTTCTTTGTTTGAAATTTACTTAGATAAAAACAGTGCGTAACATAATCTTTTGATGAACATTATTTTAAACAACAAACAAATTTTGGAAATTTTCCAATTATAAAGAAAATATTTAATTTACTTCTATTATTTTTGTATCGTTCAAGCCTGGATCAAATGCATTTAGATATTTGTAAAATTTTACGAATTTGTAACTTTTAACTATTGCAATTTATAGGTAGGTACTGTCTTTTAATAGATTACTTAATCAATTTATTGCGGAAAAACCAAAAATATATACACACACTCACATACAAAAAAGCAGATACGCGTCATAACGATAAGAATTTTGGTTTAATCCGTTTTTAATCATTCGTGTGTATTAAAATTATTTATGACCCGATTAATGACTGACCACCCGCATTTTTTATATTCTCGACCACATTAGCGACTGGGCGTACTCATCTAAACTAGAAATCTATTTTATCTAGTTTTTCATAAATACATAAAAATATGTTTGCAAAAAATACAACTACAATGTGTGAATTTTAATTTCGTCAACACTGCAACAAAAATTCGAAGGATTTTAAGTCTTAAACGCATTAAAATAAATGTTACGCTTACCGTTTCGTGATGATTCCTGTATATGGATATGTTCAGGAGATTATATAAATATTCTTCTAGTTGTTTCATTCGCAATTGTATACCTTCGTACGTGATCATGACTTCTGGTTTCTTCGGAAACCTTTAGAGAAAGATTGTAAAGATTTATTTGTAGGTTTTTGTTGCTGTTATTGTAGGTTTATTAATGCTTAAATTAAATATTGGAAACCAAGATAAATTGTTTACATTTAAAGTTATTTCATTCACTACGTCTAATATCGCCTACTCAGATAAATCTAAGACATCCGGGATCGAACCCATAAGAATAAGGCGGGATAAATAAAGAATATAAAGCTAAATCAAGAATTTGATTTTAAGCTATTGCATAGCTTTTATCGCGGGCTTTGATTGCGGCGACCGAATCAAGATATTCAGTAACAAAAATAAAACCTAACACCCCCCACTCCGCCTACCAGGTAGCTCGCATTCAACACATTCACACGTTGCGCTTGTGTAGTGTTTGTGAATAAGCGCGCGGTGTGACGTCGCACTGCATGCGCAACATGAAAAGTGTGCTCATCTCTCTCTCGCGCAGTCTAGCTTATGAGTGTGAAGGGGACAGTTAATGTTTGGTTTTGTTAATGTTTATAAATATAGTGTGGTCTTATTTTATTATTGTTTTAATATTAAATTATTATTGTCTAATTATAATTGCATAAGTTGATAAAAAATGTTATGCAATAGCTTTACCGGGGCAGTCCCCGAGTGCCACACGTGTTTTTTATTTGTATTGATGGACGTGCGGGTGCCTAGATGTCACTGTTATGGTTTGGTAGTTACCGCCCCTGACTCTGCCGATGATCGTGGGTTCGATTCCCATATCGGGCAAACATACGTGTGATGAACAGGTTGGTTCGCTCTTTGTCTGGGTGTATATTATCTATGTATGAATTTATTAAAAAAACCTATTATAATATATATAAGAATGTACGTCAGTCTCTGAATTTATCTAAACAATAATCATTATTGGAATGTATGAAAAGATTTGACTTGATCCCATTCTTTGTGTGTTTGCATTTCTATTATCCAGACTGTATAAAAAATTCGGTAAGTATTTTCTTATGAACTCTAAAGCATAGATAAGAGTATGACAACATTATCATCTAAACGTATTTCATGTAACCACGTAGCACAGTCTTCAGAATTAAGGAAGGAACTCGCAAATTAATGACACTGATAACTAGAGGTCGGAGTAGGTAGATTGATTTAAGGTCGTTGACGTCAAACGTAGAGGATAATATGAATATGCCTCCAAAATACCGGAACTTCATATTTAATGTGATATTTGTTCCGAAATTTTGAAATTAGCATGAATCTGTGTTTAAGGTGAAAAACGTATTAATAATATTAATCTACGCTACCAGTGCTAGCTAATGGTGAAAGAAATCAGTATTTTATTTTATACAAAAACACCTTGGAATAGTTACACCGTATTTTGTCCCTTTCTGTTGAATTAGAAATGACGCTTGTCAGTATGAGACAAAACTTAGGCAGGGCTTTTTGTTACTTTATCTCATAAATATAGAGATTGTATCCGACGAGAATTCAATTTTTTTTTATTTATTTAAAAAAACATATTATGGATAAAATGGCATGTCCATATTATAATATCTTGACACAAGTATTTTATTGTTATTTTTTATTGCTTAGATGGTTGGACGAGCTCACAGCGCACCTGGTGTTAAGTGGCTACTGGAGCCCATAGACATCTACAACGTAAATGCGCCATCCACCTTAAGATATAAGTTCTAAGGTCTTAGTATAGTTACAACGGCTACCCCACCCTTCAAACCGAAACGCATTACTGCTTCACGGCAGAAATAGGCGGGGTGGTGGTACCTACCCGTGCGGACTCACACGATGTCCTACCACCAGTGAACAATCAATAAATATAATATAAATATAAAATCAATCTACCTACTACGACCACTACTGATAACAAAGAGGCCCTAAAAGACTTACCTTGGCAAAGCCCCTTTTCTCTTCCTCGGTTTGGTTATGCGTTTCGAGTTACTCCTCGGGACAGCTTCGAGAGCCACCCTTTCGGCTTTCTCTTCAGTGTCCACCGTGTTCTTGAAGCTAGCCCTCCTAGACTTATGGGCCTTCGTTGGAAACGGTATGTTTAGTGACGCGCGATATAGAGTTAACTGCTGGTGCAGATTTAATATGTGCTTGTATCGCTTCTTGATCGTCCACGTGAAGTCGCCATGTTGCAGGGATATTGTATACCTGGTGAATGAATAGGATAACGGGCTATTAGATAAATAATTAGATTTGCTAGCTTTAGCAATCTTTTAATTTGCAATCACTAATTACGAGCCCACTGAGTTTCTTGCTGGATCTTCTCAGTGGGTCGCGTTTCCAATTCTGCAGTAGATTCTGCGAAGCACTGCTCTTGCTAGGGCCAGTGTTAGCAACACTCCGGTTTGAGTCCCGTGTGCTCACCTGCACGTCAAAGAGAAGCTGAAATGGCATCTCAAGGCCATCAGCTTAGATAGAAAATAAACTGATTAGGGTCACGCGCGCCGTTTAAGAGTTTAGTGACATACACACGTACTGTAGCATTTTATATATAAAGATAGACCTGTTGGTCGAATGTTGTTATTTGTGATGAATATACTCATATGCCAGATTTTTTGGAAATTATCTTAGCGTGAGAATCAGGTTCGACAACATTATTTCCACTTTCCCAAATGCTTCTTATCAAATTAACAGACGCAACTAGACTAATTCTCGGTCGTCGTGTCGGTAACTCGACAATAAACTTAGAAACAAAACGACAACTTAATAATAATCGCACTCAATTACTACGTATATACAATTGCTGGATCCTTGACACGAGTCTTGATCGTACTGTTCGTGACAATGTCAGGCGCTTTCATATTAGCTCGATTAAGTGCAACTACAATTCCGCTAATGAACGACTTCAATTAACGACACAGAAAACACAGTGTTGCGTTATATTAGAAAAAGTAGAACATGAGTCATCGGTTTATTCGTAAGACTACATGTTAAATCCTTGTTGGAAAACTCAGTGTGTATTAAACTGTGTACATACATATGTGTTTGAGGTCAATGTTATTTTCACACAGCTTGTTATAATCAAAACTGATATTGCTAATAGTAATACTTAACGGGGGTTATCGAGTTTTTTTTTAATTATTTTTTTATTACTTACTAGCTGACCGGGCAGACTTCGTAGTGCCTCAATCGATAAAAACAAAAGACCTAAACTTTTGTATAAAATAAACTTAAAACAACCAAAAGGAATCCCTCCGACGGGGGACTCATCAAAGGAAAAACAAAATTGTTTTATTTTTTCACCTTTTAAACCTTCTCTCGACTTCCATGAATAATTCAAGACCAAAATTAGCCAAATCAGTCCAGCCGTTCTCGAGTTTTAGCGAGACTAACGAACAGCAATTCATTTTTATATATATATAGATATGGGAGGACGAGCTCACAGCCCACCTGGTGTTAAGTGGTTACCGGAGCCCATAGACGTCTACAACGTAAATGCCGCCACTCACCTTGAGATACGAGTTCTAAGGTCTAATTTAGTAATCTAATCTAACTATTTTTTTTTTAAATAATGCATAAAAGATACATTAAATCAATAAAGAAAACATTACACACACTACATACCATGTATTTGACGCACACACGCATTCATACTATTTATTGTCAAACTTTTGTTCTTGGCGTCTGTTGTCAAAATGAGAATAGATTAAATATTGTTTGTCTTTGTTAATATTTTTTATAGTGTAATCTTGGCGAAATTTGTGATAATAGAAGTATAAAATACAATCATAATAGTGTACAAACTTACAATTCCAATTAGTTATAGTCGAATCTCGACTACTACGGGACCTCTAGTTTCTATAAATTTATAACATTTTAATAGAATAAGAAAATGTCGTATTTAAATTGTACCAGTTCTTCCTTATCAATAGAACGAGCCTTATCTTCCTGCGGTAAATCGCGAATCGTGATGCGGAGAATTAAAAACATTTAGAGATACACAGCTGACTGATGGATGACAATGCGCCAAAAAATTCTTATAACTTATTCTTATCTTCGAAGTATGTTATATTTTTATGTTTGTTTTTGATTGATTGAGTTACGTACGGTTAGTTCTATTTCGAGTTATTTTTAATATCATACTTAAAGCATTGTTGTATTTACGAGTATACCAATCTTGCAGCTCATTTTTTATTTATTTTTTATTGCTTTGGTGGGTGGACGAGCTCACGGCCCACCTGGTGTTAAGTGGTTACCGGAGCCCATAGACATCTAGAACGTAAATTCCGCCACTCACCTTCACAAGTGCTAAATTTAATCAAGCAATTATTAAAACTAGAGGTCCCGCAGTAGTCGAAATTCGACTATAATTAATTGGAATTGTAAGTTTGTACACTATTATGATTGTATTTTATACTTCTATAATCACAAATTTCGCCAAGACTACACTATAAAAAATATTAACAAAGACAAACAATATTTAATCTAATTTCAATTTGACAACAGACGTCAAGAACAAAAGGAGAAAGCCCATTTTGGGCCTAAGCGTTACACGAATGGGATATGTACCAAAAAATTCGTCTATTTTGCTTGATTAACCTATTGAAATCTTAGCTTCATTGTCAATGGCCAAGTGTAGAAAATAAGTTGAATTCAATTTTTTGTTTTAAACAATCTTTGTAAACATCTGCAACACTTATTTCAATATACGTAACTAGCTCCACAAACGTGCGGATTAGAATTAGAGCATCCCTAAAATAGGATCGATTTAGTGGAAATCGAGTGTAAAAAATAGTTAATACTCTTTTGCTTTAGGATAAATGACTGTTTTTATAGGTATTTTAATAAATGTAAATAGAGTATGGCCATCGAATCGTGACACAACTACTTACAATGGCGGTAATTCAAAATATCTACAACTGACAACATTAAATATAGCATGAAAGGGTAGTTTTGCATTTTTATATTAATGTGACTATGCCATAGAAAGACACAAATGTATCAAATCGTGTTAAGTTATCTTTAATGTTGCCAACTGAAGATATTTTGGATTGCCGCTATTTAGTTGTGCCATGATTCGCTGGCCAGACTATAAACTTAATCTCATTGAATAACGTAACGTAAAGCACCAAAATCTACTAACAAAAATCATTAAAAGAAATAAATAACTGTGCCATTTAGTTATGATACGAAATCATGTCGGCAACTGCGGCAATTCAAAATATTTTCAACTGGCAATCTTAAATATAACATGAAAAAGTCGATTTGGTACTTTGAGTTTTTCTATGGTNAAATTCTTATAAATTATTCTTATCTTCGAAGTATGTTATATTTTTATGTTTGTTTTTGATCGATTGAGTTACGTACGGTTAGTTCTATTTCGAGTTATTTTTAATATCATACTTAAAGCATTGTTGTATTTACGAGTATACCAATCTTGCAGCTCATTTTTTTATTTTATTTTTATTGCTTTGGTGGGTGGACGATCTCACCGCCCACCTGGTGTTAAGTGGTTACCGGAGCCCATAGACATCTACAACGTAAATTCCGCCACCCACCTTCATAAGTGCTAAATTTAATCAAGCAATTAATAAAACTAGAGGTCCCGCAGTAGTCGAAATTCGACTATAATTGGAATTGTAAGTTTGTACACTATTATAATTGTATTTTATACTTCTATAATCACAAATTTCGCCAAGACTACACTGTAAAAAATATTAACAAAGAAAAACAATATTTAATCTATTCTCAATTTGACAACAGACGTCAAGTACAAAGTTTGACAATAAATTGTATGCATGCGTGTGTGCGTCAAATACATGGTATGTAGTGTGTGTAATGTTTTCTTTATTGATTTAATGTATCTTTTATGCATTATTTTAAAAAAATATTAGCATTGTGCACTTCTTGTCTATATTCTCTATAAGTATGGAAAATATCATACTCCTCCGTCCGCGTAATTTTCGTAAAAAGGGATACAAAGTTTTTGCTTCACGTATTAATATTTAAAATGTAATCTTCTCATTTACGGTAGCAGCCACGAGAAATTATGATAAGATATTAAAATAACACATCCTTTCTCGGAATGATAGCGGCCGAAACAATCAATGTGGGCATTGTCACGAATCGAATGGTTACGAAATAACGATTAAAGCGTTTTCCAGAAAGTGCACATGTCACATTCAGCATTTCAGCGGGAGGCAGCGGCTTGGCTCTGCCCCTGGCATTGCTGAAGTCCATGGGCGACGGTGACCACTCACCATCAGGTGGGCCGTATGCTCGTCTGCCTACAAGGGCAAAAAAAACATGGGTTTTTCTAGTTTAATTGACGGATACGTTGAGCAAGAAATATCACCTAATATAGCAGAGTTGACGACCCCATAACTGGGATAGGACGTTTGAGGCCACTCGCCTTTGACTAAAGATATTTGCGAGTGTCATATTATTCTAATAGTAAGGTACCGAACAGATCTAGTGCAAATTGCCGCATAAAATTTACATGTACACTACTTAATCGTTGGTAGTCTAAGAGGCTATTTCAATTACTCACGGATCGGTAGGTGAGTTCATGGGATAAACCTGAGAGAATTGCTAACACTGACCCTAGCAAGGGCAGTGCTTCACTGAATGTACCATCGAACGGGAATCCACTGAGAAGATCCGGCGAGAAACTCAGAGGGTGAAATTTACAGAATGCGGCTGGACGCCACTATATTACTTATGACGTCATTTCAGTCCAAACTTAACGACGGGCTAATAATTGCTTGTATACTAATAGCCCCGTATGACATCACGTGTTTAGTTTGGTGCTTAGCTTGTTGAAAACCAGATAAAATCATTTTAAAATTATATATAATTATATAATGATTTTAATGTAAATAACATATTTAAATATTATTAAAGTCGTTTAGATTTTTATTCCCATTCTCGTAGCCTATTAGACTTAATGGTTATTAGTGTCTATTTGGATTTTAAAGCCTCGATCTAATGTCTTATTTAGTGCGCGGCCAAATTCATGTTAAGTCGTGGATCTGTGTATCAGCTTTATGTGTGGATGGCTTAAGGATAAATAGGTGGAGTAGCCTGTTAGGCTAGTGAATGGGTAGGGGAAAAAATAAGGATAAGACGCCCGGTGCATTCGTATTGAGCAATGAGAATGTGCCGGTGTTCGAATCCCGCAGACAGGTACCAATTTTTCCGGTGAAATACATACTTTAGTTATGTTTAAAGATAAAGTTAGGCGAGCTAGGAATAGTCGATACTATATTAAAAATGAAATGCGCAAAAAATACTAATAAAGTCTACACAGAGGCTGCAAGTGTTAACGTGAAGACGGCCTTCAGACTGTGATGTGTACGGGCTCCCAGGTGACATTCATTCGCCCGCCATGCAATATGTTTAACTTATCTATCGTGCTCCCGGTCATAGTTCTCGTCGAACCTTTGCGACGAAGGGGTCGGCGAGTAAATTAAGCCACAGACACGGCCCACTGAGTTTAGAGTGGGTCGCGTTCCCTATCCGGTGGTAGATTCTGCGAATCACTGCTCTTGCTAGGGTTAGTGTTAGCAACGTCGTCAGGTTTGAGCTCCGTGAGCTCACCTACTAGTTAGGGTTACGCCGGAACGGCCTCTCAAGGCTATCAGCTTAGGTAGGATAAAAAAAAATGTTTGGGCTAAATAGATCATATCAAGGTGAAAGGTTATTTAGTTTTAAAGCGACATTTAACTTTGTAATTAAAGGTATGTTTTATTTAGTACTAGCTGACCCGGCAGACTTCGTAGTGCCTCAGTCGATAAATAACAGACCTAAACTTTTGTATATATTTTATACAAAAGTTAACAAAACAAAAGGAATCAAAGGAAAAACAAAATTGTTATTTTTTATTTAATTCCGACCATTTTGAATTTTTCTATCTTTTAAACCTTCTCTGGACTTCCACATATAATTCAAGACCAAAATTAGCCAAATCGGTCCAGCCGTTCTCGAGTTTTAGCGAGACTAACGAACAGCATTTAATTTTTATATACATATATAGATAGAAGATAGATAGATTAGCATCGACAATAGGCAACAGTTCGATGTTTTTAATTGAACTTCAATTATGTTTACTCTATTTAAATTGCTGAAGAAGTTTTTTTGTTGTGAATTTTTTCGAAATTTTAAACTTTAGGTATTTGGCTCTCCTATAAAGTTGCAAGAATGTCGCTTAAACCAAATAGCCTTTCACTCCTTGAATGACAAATATACAAATACATATAAAATATTATTACAACATTGATAACTTTAAATCGAATACCGATTATTAATATAACACCTATTAATAGTCTCGCGTATATTACAAGGTTCATTCGGAAAAAAAAACCCGTAAATTCAAAGTCAAACTATATCGAAATATGTAGCTTCGACATTAAGTTCCTTATCTAATTGAGTTACCGTGTTCTATTAGATTGTGTTTTTAGGACAATATAGTGATAGATTTGTTTGTGCAAACTTTTCTTGCTAAGATTGGTGGACCAGCTCACGCCTCACCAGGTGTTAAGTGGTCACCTTGAGACACGAGTTTTAAGTCTCAGTTTTTACAGGACAACGGCTGCCCCGCCCTTCAAACCGAAACGCATTACTGCTTCACAGCAGAAATAGGCAAGGTGGTGGTACTTTCCTGTGCGGACTCCACGATGTTCTATCACCAGTAATTATCCAAATTTTGATTTGTGTTTTATCTTTACTACACGATGTTGTGCTAACTCCATGGAACCCATTCGTGAACATTTGTTAAGTACGTATTTCATTAGAAATATTGGTACCCGCCTGCAGGATTCGATTACCGGTGCAACGCTAGATAACGAATGCACCGGGCGTCTTATCCTTTAGGTGACGATGACTTCAAAGGTGCTATTGATCTTATCTTATTATAATATATCTTATTTTGTAGCTCTCTCGCATCGAGAAGCCGATCTTATTTAACCTAATGACTAACTAATAACCTAATAGATGTGAATCGAATTGCAGTAAGAATATAGTGTATTCGGGTGATTGGACGATGCCTTGATCCGAGTTCTATGGTAGGGATGGGACAGTGGTCACAGACTTGACTTTGCTGACGTCGATGAGTGTAGGTATTTACGATCAGTTACGCCGTGTGATCATCTGCCTATAAGAGCAATAAAAAAGATCAATCTAATCTAAGTAGACAGGTTTCGAACGATAACATCGTGCCATGGAAATAAAGTCCGTTTATGAAATTCTGTCATTGTCTGGCAGTCTGGGTATGTATCAGTCATTGTTCTACTTAAATCTGCTGTAAAACATTCGGGTGTTACGGTCTGAAGGTTAAAAGAGTCGTACTATAAGAGTCCAACTGCCCAAGAATGGACAAGATGGAGGAATGAGTATATCAGAGTAAGTCTGAAAGTAGCCCCGATAATTAACAAATTAAAGAGCGGACGATTAGCGTGGTATGGACATTGATGCACAGAGAGAAGATACATGTGACTAGGAGATGTAGGGAAATGGTAGTGCAAGGTAGAGGAGGAAGAGGTCGACCGAAGAAAACCTGGATGGAGTGTGTGAATGACGATATGAGAGAGAGGGAGAGAGAGGAGTGAGTGTTGAGATGACGGCTGATAGAAGAGAATGGAAGATAAAAATTAGCTGTGCCGATCCCACCTAGTGGGATAAGGTGAAGAAAAGAAGAAGACTACAAGAGTTCGTTGTATCAATGTGAACAATGGTAGTTATTTCAACATGACTATGAACTCCAATCACCACTTAACGAGTAGCCAGGAGCTCGTGTGACGTAATAAAATCTGCTGATGGTGGAACATATTCAAGGCAATCAACGCATTCACGGTTTTAACATTATTATATTACGAATCAAAATCACATGGTATATACTCACAAATTTGGATTCAGCAGATGTGTTGTAACACTCCTTTCGTTTTCGACAAATCTCACCTTTATTTCGACTCCAGGAATGAACACTTTCCTATGAACCGAATTGAATTTTATAGGTGGTTCGTGGATGTGTTTGAATGGCACCGATTTGGCAAGTACTGCTGTCAACAAAAATGTTATGTTCAAATTTATTAACTAAAAATATGAACGAATTTAAAATACGAGACAATCACAACTAAAACTATGTTTAAGGTCTTGCCTTTTCTTGCTTTTTATTTACTTTAACTATTATTTCCGAAGATTCGAATGCTATTAATGACATTCTCGTTTTCTATCGTATCTTAACTTTTTCTATCGTATCTTAATGGATTGTTAATAGGTTGCTAAAGTCCGATCACGTAACGACACGTGATCGCAAAACCACAATTAAGAGCGTTTTGCAGTATATTATTTGCTGGCTCTCTCTAACGTGAAACCGTCGTTACCTTTCAATATTAATCAATGATTAACAGTCTCTCATTAATTACATAATTTTAATGAGCCAAACTTCTAACAGATTTTACTATACATGAACACTTATGAATCATGATAGGGAATGAAGTCATCACTTTACTCACTTACTTTAATCGATTTCTTTGTTAATATAGATCGATATGATTATAATCTAGATTTATATCGAAATAAAAAATATGACATATTCATTTATTCTATTTGTCACATTTATACTATCGTGTTTATATCGCTCCTTATCCTTTCTTAGCAGATCGGGGTTCTGTCGAATTCTCTATTTTGTAACGCGCATGGCTTACGCAAATGTAATAGAAAACTATTCGATCGGCAGAATGTTTAAATTTAACTATTTTCACATCTCCGGTCTTAAGCTGTTTTCAGACTACGCTATAGCGCCATATAGTATAGCAGCGTATACTTATCCAATAATATATAGTACAGTACAGTGTGAACGGGTCCATAACAATGTATGGTGCGCGATATTGTTGTGCTATGAGCTATGAACTATATGCTATTATATTATAGCGTAGTCTGAAAGCAGCTTTAAGGTACTACGTAAAAGGTATGCATTTATAATTGCAAAATGAATAACGATCTACCTTAACACTTGACGTGACATAGTGTTGAGTTCTCAGTGAAGACAATGGTAGTTTTCCAATTACAGAGCATAATGCGACTCAGTGACGCACAATGCCGAATTATGCTGAAGCTTAATTGGAACGTGAATTAGTTTTCAAATGCATCAGCAGAGTGCGCCAAGTTAGTACAGTTTTAATTAACATTGATTATTTATTTCTAAGAAACTACGACGAAAAGAAAGCCTTACAATTTTTTTCAACATTAAATAATATTACTAACGATAATATAAACAAAATTTCGATCAATGCCAACATAAAGAAAAAACACTTGTCAATTTTCTGTCACTGAGTCGGTATCGATTGCGAGTATCACTTTTGAGAGTGCTCGATTGTGCGAAGCGTTGCTGTAGTAGGAACATTCAACGTTGAGCATTATGCCGCATAATGCGCTCTTGTGCTGTAATTGGAAAACTACCAGAGAGAACTAATATAGAAAGGATTTTATTTCTTGCTACGCTACACTACGGAGCACTAAAAAGGATATATCAATTTAAATGGCGACGTCCAAGATTCCACTTTAAGTGACGCGGCGCAAACTACTGTTATAATAAACGATTCCGTATATAAAGTATTTGAATTTAAATTTCTTCACCACACTCGCCAAAAGCAGTTTGCTTATTCGATATTATTTTATTAATTAACCAAGACTCGAATAACTATCGCTTTAGTTCCACGTTTATTCATAGAAGTTTCATAATATTTACGTAAACTGTGAATCGCTATTGCATAAACTTTCCAAGAATACAATCCGATGAACTGAATGAGTTTCAGAGTGAAAATAGATTGATTAAAGGCATCGAAAAGCGCTTGTTAAACAAAATGTTTTTTTTTTTTGGTAATTCTGTCTGATTTCTGATTAGCTCGATAGGTTAAAGGGCTAAACATCTTTACTATTGTAACTATTATCCTGAGTTGTCAATCTTAAGCTCTATTTTTTTTAAACTCCTATTTGTCTAGTATGTCAATCAATCATCAATAAAAACATCCCACATATTGCAACCGGTAGGAAGATAGATAACAAAAGATACATAACTTAGTTGAAATAACTAACCAACTCACCGTCAGAATCCTTATTGTCAACTTTATCTATGTCTATAACTGAGAGTGACTCGGGTACTGCAAGACTCTCGTCAAATTCGGAGTCCAACCCTGGGCTCAAGGAGTCCATGTGCTGGAATAGCCCTGGTAGGCAGTCGCCCGGGGTCGTGGGCGTGGATACATCCATCCCGTAGTTTGTGTAACTGTACAGTTGTTCATCTAAAACAATATTAATTATTAATTGTCTTGGCTCCTAATAATTGTAAATAGACAAGCTTTAACAAAACATGCTTTACATACTATCATCTAATGTTGTAATTGAATTGCAATATAGCACTGATTGCAGTAGATAACCATGANGGCAGTCGCCCGGGGTCGTGGGCGTGGATACATCCATCCCGTAGTTTGTGTAACTGTACAGTTGTTCATCTAAAACAATATTAATTATTAATTGTCTTGGCTCCTAATAATTGTAAATAGACAAGCTTTAACAAAACATGCTTTACATACTATCATCTAATGTTGTAATTGAATTGCAATATAGCACTGATTGCAGTAGATAACCATGATGTAAGTAGTGCGGTCAAGTTAGATATAATCTATAGGTAATTTAAGTATACTATAGTTTGCCAGTTCATGTTATTCACTGATAAAGGAGTATAAAGTGGATAATTAAGCATGAATCACCAAAGACTAACTAGATTATTACCAAACTAGTTTGGTTTAGCCTTCAGCTTTGAATACAGCACAACCATTTTTGTATCAGGAAATAGTGTTAACAGAAATAACTTCATTAGTTTATAATTGTATATTGAAAGAATACCAAAGCCTTTACTTCTAAGCTGAATAATAGAAGAATTAATTGCCAGTAACTAGTATTACCTGTTACAAAGTTTTTTTTTGCGTGTTATTTTTTTAATATTTAACAGTTTGATTGCGATTTACTTAATTCAATTTAAGATTGAAATAATTTTTTTACCATGACTATATTTTGTATTACATAATTTTAGTACATATTTCCCTCACTAAAACCCATTTGACTCAAGTTTCATTTGACATTTTGTTAAAAGAAAAGTAATGTCATGAATTGAGTTTTTATTTACTGTACATAAGGGTGAATGAGCTTATGGTTCCAACGGTTTTAAGTGGTTGCTGGAGTACATCACACACCACATCACAACATGAATGCATCCACTCACTTTGAGACATAAGTCTCAATAATATTGTATAATGGTTTTGTCATTCTTCAAACTGAAATGAAACTGTAGCTATGCAAGTTTATATTATGAACACCTAATAAAAAAATTCTGAGCTATAATATTCAATGAATAATAAATTTAATATAAAAGCATACGTTTTTAACTACATATATATTAATTTTGAATTTCCAATTCTGATAACAGTATACCAATGTACAAAAGTGTTCCAGCAGACAGTATGTATTTGACATGTAAGCTTAGAGGTTTTGAGGTATTTTAATGTAGTTTGAACATTCAATAGATACTTAATATTTTGAACGAAGAGGTAATTTGTGGTGAAATGAAAGAAAAAATATATGGAATTTGAGATCTCTCACAGATTGTTCAAAGAAAAAATAATTTAATGTTTAGTTAGTAAAGATTATTTTAAATACAGTAGTTGTCAAATATAAAATGTTGTTTATGGCACCACTGCTAATAAAATGTAGATATGGGTGAAATGTTGAAAGTTCACCCATACCGCATTCACTGTTACTTACACCCATATTTTGAAACAATAATTTCTGTAATTTTACAAGAAATTTCATATTTGATGTATTTGATAATGATACAAAATAAAATATAGAAAGTACCCCTATTAAATTATGTTCTGTTGCATAAAAAAAGTCACCAGAAAACTTAGAGCTATGTGTATTAGTTTATCCATAACCCCTTAAATATTTCATATGTTTTTTTTAATTCATAATTTCGAGTTTACTATGAGTATTTCAGTTTTTTTTTTTTATTTGCACTTAAATTTTTTAAATACTGTTGATATTCAAACACTTCAAAACTAACAATAGCACTTCACAGTTCAAAACATATTTAACATTATCAACTGATACCTTTCAAAACATTATCTATGTCACCATTGAAAATATACCATTAAGGTTCATATTCCAAAATCAAATAGACACTAAACAACACTACCTCGTTTGATCAAATTGTGAAAACTGAGTGTGAGTTCGTTTCGTTCCATACGTGTTTTGTATTCTATATCTTCAATCACTTCAATATTAATAAAACGGTACCCATCTGGGTGCTGGTAAGTAATGTGTTGGCCATTACACTTACTGCTGACACTTGTGTACATAATCTATGTGATAAGATAAGAATTTTATCAAAATGCAACAGTTGATTTTTGACAGCCACGGAAGGTGGTTGCATGGCAGAATCACGCGGTTTATTGTCTAAAAACAATTGCATAGACGCTTCCACGGTCCGGTGGTCACGGCCTCCGATTTTTTAAGATTCATGGCTGTTTTAAGTGAAATCTTTCAACTTACCTACTTCAGAGCGACCTTACGGAACTTCGTTCTCTCATGGTTCTCAACGACGATTAAATCATAGGGTTTCCGGGGCCGGGTGGGGCTTACAAAAAGCTTGATTCATTAAAACAGTTCAAGGATGTTCGAGTTCATTGTAGAACTTGTCGAATGACGTCACTAGTTGTAGTAGGGAGCTTTCCAAGGATATAAACAGTTTTGATAAGTTCTGTGTTAAAATATATTGTTGTACATCGTTCAAGTTATAATTTATAGAATAGTTTGTAAATGTTATTATTTGTCAAAATTGTACATATATTATTGGAGTTTACTCCTTTAGAATCGATTTACATATATAGGCCCGGGGTATGAAAATTATGGGGACCAAAATCGTACTAGCATGTCACACGAAATGCGTTATGCGCCTGATTGCGCATGTCACACGAAATGCGTTATCGCAGGTGACGCCGGGCTGCTGCGCCGGCAGTCCGCCACAAAGCCTCGTACTGATCGCGCGTNACGCCGGGCTGCTGCGCCGGCAGTCCGCCACAAAGCCTCGTACTGATCGCGCGTTTCTCTCATTATTGTATTTTCATATATTTGTTAGTCGTTTGTTTTGTGTCTCGTTAATTTGTTAATAATCTGTAGTGTATCGTGTTGTCGTAATATAGAACTATTTCTCGTATTGTTTCGTTTAATTTTTATATCCAGTAAACTCCAGTCGTGCGTCGGAGCGGACACACACACTTTTTTTTTTTTGCATTTAGAAACACTATAAAAATTAATAATTAACAAACACTAAGAAAAAGATTAACAAAATTAATTTTAATTGTTTGGGACGTGAATGGGTTTTTACGATATCACGACATTATTATAATTCAGGAATCAGCATTTCGTTTTCCATTACATTAAGTCTGCTCTACACCTTGTTGGAGTTTGAATATTAAAGTAATGGCAGGCAACACTTGACACATGTAAGGTTACAGTTCTAGAATATTGGAATGCTTATTTAAATGTTTAAAACAGATGATTGTCTTCTTTTCAGTGAGGACAATGACTTCTCATCTAGACACGGACAGTGCAACATCTTAGGGCTTTATAAAAATAAAATATTGTAATGGTGTAATAGTATACAAAAATATTTGCAATATTAACCATGAAGCAGAGAGTGTTTTTAAATAGCCCCTCACCTACAGAACCCAATATCATCAAATTTAACCGTCCAACACACCTCCTTCTCTCGATTACCGAAAGTTCGTTTTGTCCGATATTTGATTGAGAACCTTTATTTTTAATTGTATTAAACAAGCGGACGAGTTTGCAGTCCACTTGGTGGAAATTGGTCACTGCTACGCCACTATCATTTATGGATTTTTTTCCAATTGAAATGAACACATTCAAAATTGTTTACGCCCCCTGATATTATGTCTTATGTCAAGTCAAAACTTCAAGTTGACAACGTCAAACAAAAATGTCAAGTAATCAACTGGAATGGCAAAGAAATCATACCATACTGCCAAATCTTTCTTTTAATGAAAAATGATAATAGGAAGTGAAATAAAATGGAGTTTATTAATTTGAAACATTAATCAATTGGCAGGAAATACATTGAAATGAGGTGATATGGGATAAAATATAATCTCTGTAAAATTGTGGCTATTTACTGACTTATTCAGTGGACCTTTTGGAGGATCCCGAGAAGCAGCGTCCAGCGGCTCTGTTTCATTTTCCCACATTTGTGCACTTTTACAGATACAAAACAGTTAATAAACCACCGTTATTACACATTTAAGCCGGAAGAAACACTAAACAGACGAAATAAAACAATTCACACAACTTCGCGTATCCGCCAAAAAGTTCCAAAAATGTCAAATACAACTGACAAAAAAATGTGCGTTACATTTATCTATACTAATTTGCCCTTTACCTTTACGTCATTTGATTTTAATCTATACTAATATTACAAAGCTGAAGAGTTTGTTTGTTTGAACGCGCTAATCTCAGGAACTACTGGTCCGATTTGAAAAATTCTTTCAGTGTTAGGTAGCCCATTTATTGAGGAAGGCTATAGGTTATATAACATCACGCTAAGATAAGAGCACCGTTATAGAATGTTTCAAAATCTTGTTTTTTCCCCCTTTGAGAGTTTCCGCTGCGTGCGCTGCGGAAACGGTAAAAGTTTCGTTAAAATAATGTATGACAGAATTGTTCCCCTTTAAAAGATTATTTGTGAAGGTGTTTTTGTGAAGTTGATATTAATCCCTATCCAAATAAATACCTTATTCATTACAAGTATTTAATTTTAAAGAAATTTACCCACACTTGATTTTAATGAGTATGAGAAGATATCGCAGTTTTGAAATAACATCGCAACAAAATATTGATCAAGCGCGTAATATTGATCTACAAGGCGCTGGCCGGCCGGTGCGTGGCGGCACAGAATAAGAACAATAACAAGAAACATCCAAATCACTTCAAGATAGGCTGTGAAAATTATAGATTTTTGTGGATTTCTCCAGGATCCCATCATCAGGTCTTGATGATTACAGGACAATTTGGAAAGCTTATCATTTCGAACAAAAAACAAAAAAGAGCATTATCAGAATCGGTTCAAGCGTTCTCGAGAAATCGGTGAAGATAAATAGATATTATTAAAAATGGTGGTCGAATGAAGTTCGACCACGAAGGTCGAAGTCGGTAAAAAAGCGTAATT